CATTGTAATAATTTACATGTCTTCATTGCATTCTTTTTCTGTATCTTTTCCAGTATGGCCTAAATCAATTGGAATGAGGTCTTCAATGTACAAGAGTTCAAAAGCCTCCATAATGCAAGTTAAATAACAATGCCATAACGACTAGATACTTTTCTGCTGACCTCTTCTTTCTCTAGTATTGACTGGGAAGACAAGACTTTGCTTTCAGAATTAGAAGAATGGCCATTGTCATCTCCTGAGGAAGACTTTACACCCCACATTTGTCATGTAGGTTGTTGTGAATGCATATATGGGACGCAGTGATTATGATAATGTTGTGATGTGTGTGTCGTTCATCCCTACAGTTGTGTTGCTGCCCTGAGGTCCAAAATGAATATCGATCATGTTCCAGGAGTCAGTGTTGAACAAAACTGTCGCTGAGTTTCTTCAACAATCAAGAGGAGTGAGATAATCACTCGACTCCCAAAACAGCCGATGTAAGTGTCTTTCTCTCACAATGCACAGTCTCTCACAGTCCAAATAAACATGTTCAAGGATCCTGTGGATCAGGGGCCACTCCTGGTGATCAATAAATACTGATGTTGATGATGAATATATCAAAGTCATATCTGAGTAGATAAAACTGATGTCTCTTCTATTATGTTTCAAAGGAAAATCTCTGCCAGAGGAAGACTCCAGTTCCTTCAACCTGGGCCCCTGAAGCGTGGCTGTGTGTGCGTGTGACTGTGTGTGCGTGTGGCTGTGTGTGCGTGTGACTGTGTGTGCGTGTGACTGTGTGTGCGTGTGACTGTGTGTGCGTGTGACTGTGTGTGCGTGTGACTGTGTGTGCTTGTGGCTGTGTGTGCTTGTGACTGTGTGTGCTTGTGACTGTGTGTGACTGTGTATGCGTGTGTGCTTGTGACTGTGTGTGCTTGTGACTGTGTGTGACTGTGTGTGCGTGTGTGCTTGTGGCTGCTTATGAATTATTTTGAGGAAATGTGTTCAAACAAGCTACAACATAAAGATTAACATTTTGTTAGATATCTCTGATAGTGTTCGCTGCAGCAGCGATGGATAAGGACCTGGATAATAACAGTGTTATTCATTTGAGCAAAAAGTGATAACACAAACGTTGCCTTACCATCACTTGTAATTATTTGTCTTAGTGGGGACATTGTGTATATTTTTTCGGCTATAACTTCAAATCTTCTTTTACATAATAAAGTTTCTTAGACTCGTTACAGACTGTATTTGTTTTCCTACTATAAAACAAAGCACATTGAAAGAGGTGTATGTATTTTTTTTTATTTTGAAATAGTACAACTACAAACATATTTCAGAACTGCAGAGTGGACGTGCACCATGGGGGCCGCTGAGGACGTGCACCATGGGGGCCACTGAGGACAGCACGTTTTCAATGTCTGTTGGCACCTTTCACAGACGCATCAGGGAAAGGATCTGGTCATCAGCTTCTCTGGACAGAGGGCGTTCAGTGCTTCCTGAAAGAACCGTTATGACAAATGACTTTATATATTGTTACTTGTAGCTTTTCTTTCAAAGTGGTTTCCTTACAGTGTAATAGTGTAACGTAATTAGTTATGACAGTACTTTTGCGTTTCGGACAAGCTTTACTGGAATTGTTTTTCAGTCCCACATCTCACTGTACAGCTCTGATACACTTTGATTTTGTCTTCATTCTCTGAACAATAAGCACATAATACAGATGTTGATTACATCAATAAATGTATCTTTATTTTGTGACATTGAGAAGGCAGCTTCCAGTGAGATGCAGCTTTACTTTCACACAATACATTACTACAGTGTTGTCTATAAAGAACTCCAAATATACAAATTGTGAGGAAATAAGTAGCAGTAATGTATTACTTTAAATAACCTTCATGTAAAGCTTTGTTATGTATATGCATTACATTCATCTAATACATATGCACTGTAACAGATTAACATCTGTGCATAATGTTGAGACACGTCACACTGCAATCTGCAACATTATGTTTATCACAACAGTTATCAGTGTACCAACTATAAAAGCAGTATTATTCTATAAAAGACTGGATTGTTTTTATCTCTTTCTTAGTGATGCTATCCTAGCTAACACCAAGCTGCTTCCAGTGTTATAGCTAGGTTACAACTAAGCTATTCTATGCTAATATTTCACTCCCAGAGTTTGTTGTTAATATACTTAAGGGTAGACCTGACGGAGATGAACCTGCTGCTGCCATCACCAACACGATGCGCGTTCATGTGGTGTGACGGTGAGACGGGGGCGGGGCTACTAACTCGCTCAGGCAGAAGAAACTGCCGGAAACGACCAAATCGCTTACTGCTGCTTTAAACAGAAGAATGAGAATAAATGTAGATATTCAAACGCAAATTGGAAAAAAAGGGCAACTTTTGAGCAAATAATTGTATATTAATACAATGGCACCACAGTTTAACGTGCTACGGACATTTTTTACATATTTGATCAAATTATGCAGCAAAAATTAACAAGCAATGCAAACATTTCTCAAAAACTTTAGATTTAATACCAGTTGGAGCTCCATTTAATTATTTTAATTATATTAACAATTAATTTAATTAATGCTAATGCCACACGGACACTCTGGATTGCTGCTATTGTTTATTTCCGCGTTTTTGACCGTATGTTTTGGTGAATGGTGGGCAACTGATTTTTCCAGGCGTAAAGAGCAGTTTATTTTATGACACAGATCTTTTTACAGAAGCAATGCTGTTTGTGAACATTGTTTTAGCCCACCATAGAACTATTATTATCTATTTAATACATTTACGTTGCCCTCGAGAGCCTCGGACGCGACACCGATCCTCCTCATAATAAAGTAATCTAACGCTAAATAATGAAACTCTCAAGTTACCAGATATCAGCATACACAAGTTAGTACTGAGTAAATTACGTCTGTCAACACATTATAAGATACGATACGCACCTGACACAAAGTGCTCCGAGCATATTCTTGCGTGTTTTGAGGGAGTTTCTTGCCTGTTTATCTTCGCAAGCCATAACCTCCGTGGTTGTTCTGACAAAAGCTTAGTCTTCTCACATTCATGAAGTCTAATGATGGGTATACTGTAAAATCCAAGTTTAACGGAACCTCCGGCACGATTTGAACATCCATTGACCCAGCAGGAGATGACCATTTTCAACTTTATCACGACATTAACACGTTTCAGCTTCTTTTTCTATTGTTTTGCCCACAGAATGCCAACACAAATGGCGCCGGGTCGGCAAATCCCCGTATGTAGTGACGTCATGTGGGAACTATGTATAACAAGGATGACCAGAGACCGTTCCAGACAACAACCATGGATGTGACAACAACACATACGAGTTTTCAACTGCACATGCGCAGTTGAAAATTCGTAATTTTGACTTTCAAAGTTGAAATTTTGACTTTTAAAGTCGTATTTTTGACTTTTAAAGTCGAAATTTTGACTTTTGAAGTCGAAATTCTGACTTTTAAAGTCGAAATTTTGACTTTTAAAGTCGTAATTTTGACTTTTAAAGTCGAAATTTTGACTTTTAAAGTCGAAATTTTGAGTTTTAAAGTCAACATTTTGAGTTTAAAGTCAAAATTTTGACTTTCTGTAGGCTTTTTTTTTTTTTTTTACATGGCGGAAACGGGCTTCCATAGTCTTTCTCATGAACGAGCAAAGAGAATTTTTGTTGTTCTCCCTGCTGCTGTGTGTGTATTTGTGTGCGTGTGTATGATGTGTGTGCGTGTATTTGTGTGCGTGTGTATGGTGTGTGTGTATGTGTGTTTGTGTGTACGTGTCTTTGTGTGTGTGTGCGTGTGTGTGTGTGTGTGTATGTATGACAGTAGCATGAATAACCAGTCGGTCTACTCTGGGCAGGTCTCCAGTGTTGGCTTCATCTCTAAACGGACATCCCGGTGATAATTGATCTCGAACTGCACGGCAATAAAACTACATATATGACGCACTTTTCATCATAGATACATTTAAAGTTTTATGTTATTGTACGTTTCAAGTTACATAAGTAAAATAACAGGAAATCATTAAATATAAACGAACGCAAGAATTAAGCCCCGCCTGACTTCTCTGTCCGGGGCCGGAAAACAGGCGCACCCCTTCGGACGTGATGTCAGAGCGCTTCAATTCAAACTTCAGGAAACGCAAGCGTCGTGTTGTCATCGTCCACGGGGGTAACTACTTCATATAATCTCTATATATACACCACAATCTCTTAACCCGTCTGCATTTTAGATTAATACTGCGATTACTGGTTATATACGCGCTATCTGTTATAGTGTGAATGAATCCGCTGCGTAAACAAAGAGCCATCTCAGGAGTGCACACTTGGTTTTGCACACTTCATTTCTTTTTGCACACCCTTAGTGATTCTATCTATGCCAAATGGGATATGTACATTTATCCATTGTGAGATCAATAAAGTTGATCTTCTTTTATGTAGTAGTATCATCACTGAATATTTGAACCCACGGAGCAAATGACTTATTACTTCAATATTCTTGCACTAGATAGTACTGCAGATTTATGTGTACTTACAAGCATATATTTTGTTGCACTTCTAGAGAATACAGTATTTTATCAGAATTATTTGTATTGTCACTGTTTGTTGTAAGTAACAGGAAGTCACAAACTGGAATTTGCTTTGGCTCATGGTGCAAACAAGTTATTATTTATTTATTTATTTATAAAAATATATACCTTTTTATATGTGTATATTTTGTAATCTGTGTTTCTTTGTTAAGGTAAAGATGAATTAGTATTGTGCTACACTTATTCACTTACCTTGTGCTGTGCTGTGTGCTCCTCAGCCCTACTGTTCTGTAACTTGTGATGCAACACTGACATTTACCCACTGTAGGACAATAAAGAATCTCTCAATCATGATATTTTGTCTCTTCTAGCACGTGCGTACATCTGTCATTCTGTGGACAAATCAACAACTGTCAAAATGCTTGTGTGTTGTAGGTAGTTGCTGACACTGGAAATGCACCATGACTTCTAAAGGTGCCAAAGAGACCATCGTGTCCAAGTTGGGCTTCAAATCCAACAGTTCTTCCTCCAAAGTTGAGGCCGAGATGGATCGCGTGAAGAAGGAGAACGCGCACCTCAGGAAAAAGATTGATGAGCTCGCCAAACGACTCATCCGGCCGCCAGACTCTGATAAAAGCAAGTTGCTCGAGGTACAGGAAAGGAAACCCAGCCATATCCTGTCTGTTCGAATGTGAGATTTTCTTATGTTTTGTTTTTTGTATTTACGACCTTCTTTAGAGGATCCTTTCCCTGGAGACGCTGCGGGAGAGAAATAACCAGCAGTTGTTGGTCAAAGAGCAGGAACTTCAAACTTTGAGACAGCACCTGACGGCTCAAGGAGGAGAGGTATGTGACGGCAGAGATGAAAACATTACTGTAGAAGGGGTTAGCTGTGGTCAAGAAGAATTGTTGTTGTGTTAGCAGCTTGGAAATGGCAATCTGGGTAAAGTGCTGTATAATAACAGTTGCCTCTTCCTCATTAGTCGTCAACACAACAGCCAAACGCTTCCTGCCGTGTAATCTGTGCACAAAGCTCTATAATTTCTGCAGTGGAGGAGGGAGCCCACTCATATATATAATCATTCATTCATTCATTCTCCCTTAAACTCTTTCCTGGAGTTGATTATTTGATGCTGTGGTTCGTAGGTGGTGGCTTCTCTTCAGGCCCAACTGGAGCAGAGGAGGAGGGAGGCTGAGCAGAAAGACGCCCTGTTCCAGAGCGTGTCCCAGGAGACGGAGAACCTCAAAAACAAGCTGGCCTCGGAGTCCGCGCGCTGCCAGTCCCTGGAAACTCAGCTGGCAGTGAGTGTGCAAACTTTCAGACAGTGCTTATTTTAATTTGTATTTATTTATTTTTATTATTTGACAGGGACAATAAATACTGTTGCTTGAATTTCTCATTCCAAGGGAGACATTTCTTGTATCTTTTCAAACTAAGCTAATTTTGCTTTGTCCCATCGGCAAATCTTGTTTTAAGTCAGTCAGAATGTGCTCAAATTATGATACATTTTGCCAAATTTGAGCATTTCTTTTTGCAGTGCATAGAAGAAGACGACATTTTTATATTCGCCATACAGGGCTGCATCTCCATGTGTTTGCTTACAATATTATATTTGAATAAAAAAAATATTTGCAGGTTGCATATATGATTTCAACAATTAAACAAATCAATAATAAACATTTTATAATAACAAATATCCACTGTCCTGTACTCAGATCAGCAGTGACACTTTTCTTTGCTCCCAGTCCTGTGGTGAACCAACACGATACCCTTTCTAACACAAAAGTCATATTTGCATATTCGACTGAAATGTGTTTGTTGGGCCACATTTATCGCGTTGAACCTAAATAATACACATGCTTCTTCAGCTGCAGTTTTTCAGTAGAGCACCAGGTGGCACTGTTGCCTGTTCCCTTATCGGTCTAATCAGCTCTTTGTTGGAGCCTAATTGTGAAAATGATAGTGTTCTGTATCTTTAAGTTTCCTGGTTGTTCACCGCCTCACTGACAGCATGACCGGGGGGAAAGAAGTCCTCATCTAAACTATTGCTCAGGAGATAATGATCAGGGAACGAGGCATGACAGAAGAAGAAATTATTATGTAACAGCGTGTGCAATTTCAGCCCACTGTATGAGGGGTGGTTCATATTGAGTGATTATTGCACTATTTTCACTCTTGCACTGCAAAACAAAGAAATGATAATAATAATAATAAGGTAATAATTGCTTGAATCGAGTGGGTTTGATTTGTGTACATTGTGACTGTCTTAAAACAAAACTTTCCCAGCGTCATGAGACGGGGTAGAAACACATAAAACACATATAAAATACATTTAGTTCATAATTTATGCAGTGCTACCGGTTGTTTAGAGAAGTGACTGCAGACGGGACAAACGATCTCTTGTAGATGTTTTTTTCGGGCCATCAGGGTTCTGAATCTCCTTCCTGATGGCAGCAGAGAGAAGGAGCCTACAGTGGGTGTGTGGCGTCCTCAGCACTGATTGGCTGTACAGCTCAGAGCAGAGTTTGTGGTGTTTTTGATGGCCTGCTTTACTACACTATTGAGTTTTGTCCTGTGTTTGAGAGTGAGGAAATCGAACCAGGTGGAAATATTGTACGTGAGGATGGATTCAATGAGTGAGGTTTACACTGTTGATAAAATGCCTTTGCTAACATTAAAGGATGTCAGTTTCCTGAGGAGATGGAGGCGCTGCTGTGACTTAAAAAAAAAAAACTGAACCTGTCTCACGACGCTGGGTTTAGACCTTCTTGAGACGGCTTAGTTTTACTCTACGAATGATGGGTTGTTGCAATAGTAATTTTGACCGGGACAAAGCCATTTAGTCTTATTTCACAAACTGTTATTAGTAGGGGTGGGCAAAATATATTGTAGACAATAATATTGTGAAAGTCAATTTGAAGATATGCTTTTTTCTTTTTACATACATATTACAATTAGAGAAGGACAGATGCCCATTTGGTCTAATGTGTGCCTAAAAAGCCAGTCACGGCTTTATTTGTGTTTCTGTGTTACTTGAATTCGATTTTTATTGTTAATATATGTTTGTGCGTGTTTTGCAAAGAAGTGTGAAGCTAGATATTTATTTTTGTCCATATCGCCCACCCCTAAGAGTTAGGCTTTATTTTCTCATCCCAAGGGAGAAATTTTATTTATTGATTGATTTTTATTTGCTATAGGGACAATTTTAACACTATTTAAACCACATTTAACATTATAGTGTTCACATTATACAAACGCAGGTGTTCTCCAACTCATTCCTGATCACACAACTGGTTTGTTTAAAAAAATCGCTTCAATACATTTCTTGCATCTTCTTCAAAGCAAGATCCAGATTTGGCTTGTCCCACTGGCAAATCGTGCTAAAGGCCGTCAGAATGTGGTCAAATTAAGATACAGATTCGGACAAATTTGAGTGATTTTGGACTTTCATTTGTTTTTGCAGTGTGCCTTCTGCTTAAGTCATAGTGTCTTTACTCATACCTGCCCCACACTGACCTCTCGTTCTCAAAGCCCCCTCCGTTCTCCGGCGTGACTGCCCTCGCATTACTAGATATAATCCACCTAGCCTTGACCTGTCGGGCTTTGCTCTCGTGAATATCATTATGTGTCCATGCGGTTAAAGGCGTCTGGGGAAGTTGTCCAAGCTCATGATATTTGTCTGCCACGATGCTGCTGATCTTAGCTCAGAGATGATCGTGCAGGCGCTTATGGCTTCTGTAAAGGGCTTAGACGTCCTGACCTATGGACCACAGGGTCAGAATTATGAGACGTTGAGAAGGTTACGGGGCTGATGTCAGAAGAACCGGATGAGGCCAAGGACGGGAAGTGGTCATTATGTAAACGAGAGAACTGTGGCCTTTCAGGCAATAGTCATGGAAGGAGAATTTAAACTAAAGGGTGTTTGATTATAGGTTTTAATAATTGGACTAGGATTCAACATTTAAAAATCTCACCCGCAATAGTCAAGGAAAGGCAAAGTTAGTTGTATTTCAGAGTTCATAAGGCAACTCAAAGTGCTTTATAAAATGCATTAAAATCACGATAACTGTTTTTAACCTGGATTTGAGCATTGTCAGAGTAGAAGCCTGTCTCACAATTTCAGGAAGACTTTGCCAAATGTTAGCTGCATGAATCTGCAACGCTAGCCTGGCTCCAGCCGACTTTTAGCCTTGCCTACTGAAATTGTAAGTAGGCGGGGTTAGAGGTCGGCTGGAGGCAGGCTACTGAAACGCTGCCGCCGCATGTTCACTCCACACCATTCAATAATAATAATAATGCATCGGTTTTATATAGCGCTTTTCTGGACACTCAAAGACGCTTCACATGTGTCATTATTCATTCACTCCATACACGGTGGTGATAAACTACTGCTGTAGCCACAGCTGCCCTGGGGCACACTGACAGAAGCGAGGCGACCAGTATGCGCCACCGGCCCCTCCGACCACCACCAACCATTCACACACACACCAGACTCATTCTAGGCAATGGGGGTGAAGTGTCTTGCCTAAGGACACAACGGCAGTTTGGCACTTTACAGCCGCAGCCGCCCCACTGTGGCTGGTGTTTCCAGAGGTTAAGTGTCTTGCCAAGGACACAACGACAGTAGTCAGTGGGAGTCGATGGTGAAAGTCTTGAGCGGGGCTTGAACCCACGACCTTCTGGCTCAAAGGCCAAAGCTCTACCAACTGAGCTACTGCCGCTCAATGAGTCTCACCAACTTTTCTACCTTAGCAATAACCCTCTATTAAAGCTAGTGTACCTATTTTTCAAACTATACAGATTGATTGTTATGTGACAGAAATCTGACTAGTTCCTCGCTCTCAAACAGCTTGCTTCTATAATTGGAGCTTTCTGTTGCATGTTTAGAAGTGAAAAAGAGATTCGACCCTTTTTGTGGAGCTCACTCTAGTTTTTCCTCTGATTACAAATAAACTACCTAGAAATTATGGAGATTTATGGAGTTTGTCATTCTAGAGTTTGTCATCCTAGAATGACAAACTGGACAATTCCCATTCATAGCTGATCTCGGAGCTACACATTGGGTTTATGGACTATGGATATTTTGCCCACACTATTAAATAATTGATTGTTTCACTTTTGTGTTTCCTTCATTTATGTCTTGTCCTGTGTCTGTATGTACAAGAATAACGTTTTGGCACTACCCTGGCGCTTCAGTGAATGTGCAGACCAGAATAAATGTGTCCGTTGAGTTGAGCAGTCTTATTGTTTTTGTTTTTTGTTAATTCATGCCTTTAAATAATATGAGGGACATGAATCACAATTTATCGCAGAATCAAAACACAACACTTGCTGTATCACAATAATATTGAATCGTGGCCCAAATATTGCAACACTATTGAACCTTCACATTTTTGCCACTTCCCAGCCCTAGTGTGAATGCATGTATAAAGTGTTTAAAGTTTTCTTTTGTCATTTATTGCAGAATGGAAACAAAGCGACCTCTTCTGAAAAGGCCTCGGTGCAGGATCAGCTCAGAGATGTGGGTGTGAATCTATGATGAATCACATAAATACTGGTTATAGCTGAAGGAGATCCAACTTGTGTTTTTGGAGCAGGCTCTGGAGAAGAACCAGCAGTGGTTGGTGTACGACCAGCAGAGAGAGGCCTACGTGCAGTCAGTGCTGGCCCACACTCGAGAGCTGGAGCAGCAGCTGGCTCAGGCCAAAACACTGCACGCACAACCAGAAACTGCTACAAACTGTGAGGAGTCATAACACACACTTCTGCAGACACACACACACTTCTGCAGATACACACCCACTTCCACACACGCACTTACACTTCTACTCACATTTCTACACACACTTCAACACACACACGCACACTTCTACACACACGCACGCACACTTCTACACACACACACGCACACTTCTACACACACACACGCACACTTCTACACACGCACACTTCTACACACACACACGCACACTTCTACACACACACACGCGCACTTCTACAGACACACACGCACACTTCTACAGACACACACGCACACTTCTACACATGCACACTTCTGCACACCTCTACACACACGCACACGCACACTTCTACACACGCACATGCACACTTCTACACACGCACACTTCTACACACTCTTCTATACACACTTCTGCACACGCACACTTCTACACACACACATGACCTGTCCAGGAATCTGTACTCAATCTACACTGTGCTCACATGAACCATACTGTTTAATGTGTTTTTGCGAGCTGCGGAACATATTGTCAGATTTACAGCTTCAGCAAAAACAAACGTCACAGACTCTTAAATGATCAAACATAAACTGCGGAGGCCTTCCCGGAATGTCAGCTACACCTCTCTGTTGTGGACATTCTAGGAAAAAGCAGAGCAGGGCAAGATTTTATAGCACAAGCAGCTCAAACTCACAAGGCACACGGTACAAGGCATTTAAATCATAAATAATTACAGTGAAAAATGGAGAGTTTACAATGCTCTGCAAAGGGGAAAAATTTTGGAAAAATGTATCTTCAAATTAGAGCACATTCTGACGGCCTTACAACCAGATTTGCCAACGGGACAAAGCAAAATGATCTTGTCTAAAAAAGTTTTTGAAATAAGACTAAATGGCTTTGTCCCATTGGCAAATATTGTTTTACGACGGTCAGAATGTGCTCCAATAAAGAACAACGATTACCTCATATTTTATCACTTTTTGCAGTGTGTGATTTGCTAAGATTTCTTGCGTATGTACTTTATACTTGAAAACACAAAAACATGTAAAACTATTCTCATTCTTTCTTGTTTTTTAATCCCTGTACCAGCTGATGAAGCGAAGGATGAAAGCCGGACGAAGCAGTCGGAGCGGCTGCTGGCGGCGCTGCAGAAAGATTTAGAGAGACAGAAAAATGAAGTCTCCAAGAGTGAAGTGGAAGTGCAGCGTCAGAAGGAACAGGTAAATTATACTTCTCCTGTGTCCGCATTGACCAAACTTTCATACATTATTAATCTGTGGTTAACAATAATCTGAGGTGTGCGTTTGGGGGCATTTCGAGCCTCTTTTATCAGAACCATTTAGAAACGATCATGGTGGATTTTCAGTCGTATTGGGAATGTAACAGACCGTTGCTGGGTACTGTCCATCAAGGATGTTTCAGGATGATATCAGTAACGAACCAAATTGTATATTTTTCTCACCTATAATTCATTACTATTTTTTATTATTCCTCTCTCTCATATGTATTATTATTTCTTGTTACATAAACATTATCGCTCATATCTTCATTATTACGTCATCTCTCGTCATATTTCCCGCACATTTATTATCTGTAATATATTTATAATTATTCCTCCCTGATTTATTTGCCTCTATATTGCACTAATGTTGCCCTTATACTTGTTCAACTCTATTTTGATACTAGAAAAATACCCTATTCCAGTTTAAATACCACAGCAATTATTTTAGCATTGATACTTGTTCAAATTAGCCTGGCTGGTTTGATGTCTGCTGTCGTTGTGTCCTTGGCCAAGACACTTAACCCCACTTTGACTGAAGCCCCCACTGAAAGATCAAGTCTAAGTAGCTCTGACTGCCATCCCCGACCCAGAAATGGATTAAGGGGAAGAAGATGGATGGATGGACGGTTTAGATTGAATTATGTATTGAAAAACCTCGTTCAGACTGCTCAGGTCGTCTTGGGTCCCCACAGTGGGACAAAAAAATAGGGGATCTCTGAATCTTGGGAGCAGAATGGAGCAGTTAAAATGACAAAATGATGAATAAACTTGCCTTCCATCCTCTCTGTGTAAAAGTGTCGTCTGAGTTCCACTAGATTAGCTATATTTATTTATTTTGTATATTGTGCTTTTTTACATGATCAAGGTATTCTCGACATGACCTTTGCTCCTGTGCTGTGTGCAGATCTCAAAGGCCCAGGCTGAAGTCGAGTCTCAGAAGCTGCAGATTTCCCGACTCCAAAGTCAGATGGCAGCTTTGCAGAGCAGCTACGAGATCAAGTGCACCGAGATGTCATCGCTGCAGCGGAAGTACGACGTGAAGAGCCGGGAGCTGGGGGAGGCCAGAGAGGAGCTGCAGGGGGAGAGACTCAGGAACAAGTATTTGAAACCTCCTTTTCGCCGCCACGTTCCTTTTCTGCTGTGATTTTTGAAGGTGTGTTGGGTTTGTTCAGACACACGGTGAACGAGGAGAGGAAGGTGTCCTCGGAGGTGAGCGACCGAATGAGGTTTGAGCTGGAGACCACGGCCCTGAGGCTCGACGAAGAGCGGAAGAGATCAGCGGAGCTTCTGCTACAGGTGGAAGAGACTTTAATAAAGCTCGGTACCTAACTTTATCATAAATGACACGTGCCGTTACTCCACACAGAAAGAGTCTGGTTCATGTCAAATGTTATGGACAAATCAGACCACCACATGCTGTCTTATCTTTGGTATATTGTAAAAAAAAAAAAAAAAAAAAAGCCCTGCGAGACACTTTGGGCTGAGTGAGGCTGGTCCTCTCTTTTTTCACTTGATCTATAGAGTGATGCAGTGGTTAGTGCTTGTGCTTCACAGCAAGAAGGTCCTGGGTTCAATTCCACCTCCAGACCTTTCTGTGTGGAGTTTGCATGTTCTCCCCGCGTCTCTGTTGGTTTCCCTTACCATTAAAAACATGTGCAATAGTTCTGGCCACTGCCTCCTGTACGGCGACCCCGCTCCCATCTCTGTGTGAAATGGAAGATAAATGCCCAAAACAATTGTAAAGTGCTTTGCTTCTCTGGTCTGTGAAAGGCGCTAAATAAATAAAGATGACTTACTTACTAAAGATGTGACACAGGCTAAAGATACAAGCGTTTGAAAACTGTTTTAGAGCCGGGAGCTTGTTGGATGGATTTTTATTAGCCTCCTGACAAGAGGTGCAACGGTTCATCACTGATCCGTGATCCGTTCGGTTCAACGTCTTTGGTTCGGTACAGACGTGATCCGCGGTTTGATTTATGAAAAAAAAGTTGTGCGCATGTTGTTCAGTCCACACACAGTGTGGTCACGGCGAGCGGAGGAACGGAGATGTTTGAAAGCCCCGCGTCATTTAAATCCCCAGTATAAGAGCATTTTGGCTTCACTGTAACTATATGGATAATTAATATTCGACAAAACTGTCACGATGTGTAAACACTGTGGACCAAGAAAGACATGAGTGAAAAAAAAGCATCTCAACGACCGCTTATTGCCGCGGCGTTTAAGCAGCTCCTTTATGCACAGTCAGACCGGGCTAAAGTCAACTCTCCCGCGCATCCTCAGCTGCGCTCACGACTGACGCTTGGACGTCCCGCGGAATCTATAATAGATCCAGGATGAGCTGAACGGAGAGCTATGTTACGATAACCGCTCACTTCATCACAGCAGACTGGGAGATGAGAAGTCAGAGCAGGTGCCGAGTCCACATGACCCGGCACCTGTCTTTATTAAAAAGACAAAACTTTTTTTTTTTTTTAAATGAACCGAACCGTGGCCTTTGAACCGAGGTACGAGCCGTACCGTGATTATTTTTCAAACCGTTGCACCCCTACTCCTGACATGGAAGCTAACCGTTAAGGTAAACATGCTAACGTGAGCGAATGTTAGCCTTCTCTGAGTTTATCATGTCATTCACCTTTAGCTTTGTCCGTAACACGTCAACTGTGCGTTAAAACACCTCGTCAATAGATTAAATTAAGACATGAATTAAAAGACATTGAAACTTTGGCATGCGGCTTATATTCAAGTGCAGCCTATATGCGGACAAACTTTACATAATTTTTAAATGCAGCTGGTGCGGTTTTTATACATGTACCTAAAAATCCAGCAAGTACTGGACAAAACATTTGCTGTGGTTTTAAAGTTGGGTTCCTCTGCTTTAAAGGCTGTGTTCTTGGGCAACACACCCAGATAGAGATGTACGTCTATAGTCTATAATGTATATGTATATTGTGTATATGTATGTAAATGTATATAGTGTATATGTATGTAAATGTATATAGTGTGTGTAAACGATGTCTAAATTGTACATGTTTGGAGTTCCACAGGTCAACATGTTGCAGAAGTCTCTCTTCAGCCAAAAAGAAGAACAGATAAGGATGTCTTCTCTGGAACAGCAGGTGATCTGAACGTGGTTTCGGTGCATCGTTCGTGTGACGTTTTTTTACTTTGTTTATATCTCGTCTCTCTTTAAGATCCAGCTGTCGTCCAAAGAGTTTGAGAATGAGAAGATGGATCGGCAGAACATGCAGCACCAGTTACAGAAAGTGCTGAAAGAGCTGCGGAAGGCTCGGGACCAGATTACCAAACTGGAGTCTGCCGTAGGTTCAACTACTCTCAAATCTATAGTAGCTGAAGTCTTCAGTTTTACTCATCGCAGCAGGGGGTCACACTCATTTTGGTCGGGGCCAAATTTTAAAACATAAGAGCTGGTTTGGATCAAAAGTATAAAAGTGTTTCTGTTTTGTTTTTGTCTGTATTTGACATGAGATTGGATATTATTTTCCAGTATGTTTGGATTGAACCACAACTGGGCCAAATATCAAGCAGAGATGTTCTTCTTAAAACACTTAAGAACATATTCAATGATATGGTTGTTTTCCTGAGACAATAGGCTTTAAGATGAATAACATGCCATAGTATCCCTTTACCATCAATCCTGTAAGTTAATGTCATGAAAAAATTAATTGTAAATCATATCAGGGGCCACTAAAAATGGTCTTGTGGGCCAGATTTGGCTCACGGGCCTGAGTTTGACAAGCCTGCATTACAGTATATGTCTTTATAAAGAAGTAAGGGTATGACACTAAGCATAAAACTGTAAAAGATCGTAGATTGTGTTACCAATGAATAGATCATTTTCTTCTTCCCGGTGAGCACTTTTCGTACATCCTAAGTGGGCAAGCACAATTTTGGCAAAAGATAAAATCAGACCAACATTACAGCTGTGATGCAATTACCTGATATAACTTGTTAGAACGTCTTCAGTAGTTCTTGGACTGTTTGTGAACCTGTTTAAAAACCACACCAGCCTCAATTGAAAAGAAAGTCAACAGTTTGTCCACATATAGGCTACACTTGAACATAAGCCGCAGTTATTAATGTTTAATTAAAGACCACCAGCTGATGAAGTAAAATGAGGCAGATCGACGACTTATTTAACTTACGGCAACATGAGTCAAAATAAGTCCATCAACTGCTCTGACAACAGCCATGATCACAAAGGCTGTTCACATAAACCCACTTAGAAGGAGGAATGTCTGCTCCTCAGCTCTGGAGATAATTGAAAGAATAGATTCATTGCAAAAAAGTTGTGCGTCTACAATTGTATAAATTATGAAATGGACAAGGTCTCATTGTCTCCTCAATCATCTTCCAGAAACCGTGCAGCGCCCGCTTCTCCGAGCCGTCGTCCTACAACCGCTTCGAGTTTGAGCGTCTGACCCTGGATGACCCCCCCACCTCCCCCTCCAAAGTCCCCAACCTGCTGGACGAGAGCTTCCTGGAGTGTCCCAAGTGCCACGCCCCCTACCCCACCAGCCGCCACCGCGAGCTCCTGGCGCACATCGACTACTGCATGGCCTGAGAGCACCAGAAGAGGGCGACGTCTATGAGTTGCGTCTGGTTTTAAACACCCTATAATCATGAAGAAATTATTCACTTATTTGGTTTGGAGAGGGCGAGATTTAAAACTGGGGTACTTAACTTTTTTTTGCAGTGTTTTCCCCAACCAGAAAGTCAACCACAAACATGCTATCTTCATTATTATTATATTACACAGCAAAAAGTTTTGAAAAATGAGTCAAAAATGTTGTGCACGTGAAAGCTAGTGATAGATTTTAGACCCAGAAACCAGTTAGATTTTATAGTTTTTTTGTGGGGAACGTTACGAACCTCAGCTTTAATGTATTTGAAATTATAATGGTAAAGCAACATATATTTTTCCGCTTGTTTTTCGAAGCTCTTGGTAAACCTACGAGTATTTTATATGTATTTATTTTCGGTGTAACTTCTATGTACTTCTTGTTTTTGTGAAATCATGTTTTGGACAATGAGCTTTTACATATCTTGGTTTTTGTTTCATTTTGGGTAATCGCAGCGTTTATTATTATTATGCAAGACACTCCGCATTCTAATACAAATTTAAACCTACAATCAATCAATCATTAATTTATTCAGGTTAAATCCCAGTTTGTGTCTCTTGTGTCTCCATGGCGACCATTATCTCCCATGTGTGTTTGTACAGTATGTGTGTTGTCTTTAGTGCCACCTTGACTCCTCGCTGTAGTGACCGGCCCAGTAAAGCTGGAATGAGATTGCATTGCCTTAATTCCTCGTACTAAACTATTTAAAGAAGAGGATTAGTAAAGCTCCTCGCACAGGGGAATGGAGGAGGCTAAAGGTACGAGTAGCTAGTTAGTAGTCAAGGCTATGGAGACGATGGACGGCAAAATGATGTATTCTTTTGGTTGTTTCATGTTTTAAACTCGTCCTTGTACTGTGTATCGAGTGCAATAACGATTCCTCTGTACTCTTTTATGTTTACTTTCTGATTAAATGTTTTTTTTTTTAAGCACAGCAGTTGTCAGTCCTGTCCTTCAAAGCCATACACAGTCCCCATTCCGTTCACGTTCTTCCATTTTTGGAGGTTTCTGTTTCTAAATGTAGTTTATTTCAGTGTTATTACGTTCAGAAAATGTATCTCTGCCCTTAAACTGGTTCGACAGGTCCTAGAGACTAGTTCAGAGCAGTCTCAGCTTGGAGTTAGTGCTAGTTACCATAGCAACACAATTAGCTAGCATTAAGTTTAGCGTTAGCATTTAGATCTGCTTTACATCATTTATATTAAACAGTTTTAGCATTTACTGAAGATGAAAACCAAATTACTTACTAATTTATAGTAGTGAAAACCAAAAACTAGAATTCCATTAATATTTTCTTTAAGTATTTTGTTTTTATATTAATATTAATATTGTGTGGGGAGGTTTTCTTGAAATTACTTTGTCATCTTCATTAGTTTTTCCCCCATAATACATACTGCATAACAAGACACATTTTATTAAATTTTTTCCTCTTTTTTTTTTTTTTTTTACCACTCTGCTTCCCTTGTGCCAAAAAAGGCTATCGTAAGGCTTGAAATCCGCCATGAAATGAAATGATTTTCTATTATTAATCATTTGAATGGGAACCGTCAAAATGACTGCTGAGTGTCAGAATTCTGGAAGTCCTAATGCTAAAATCACTAGCGTAAAAGATGTCACTCCACCAAACGTCAAGCTTTATTGGGAAACGGATCATAGACCACACAGTCGGCATCTGTCTATAGACTTTTACTGTACATGGGAAAAGGCAGGAGTCTCCAGGCTTCTATTTACAGTCTGTAACACGATTGAAATGAAAACGGAAAGGTTTATTTGTTATTCCACCGTGATGACAAGTGTTATACAGTCCCTGAGGTTCATGAGATGTGTCTGACAGTTACTTGGCTGGTGCCGAGGTGCAATATCCTGTAAAAGAAGAGAATATATCCAGTTTAGCACATTACAACAGTGTCTCACAACATCATAGACATTTTGCCTCAGATGAAACCACAGCACAACAATACACTTTGGTTTGATCTGACCAAGAGAGATTGTGTTGTTAACCCAGACATAAAAACATTTACTATTTGTTATTTTTGGAAAGCGAATGAGTGAATGACCATATTTGGCAATGTAGCATATTAGCATCAGGGGTTTTGGGTACATACAATAGTTAAAAATAAAACTTCTTTCTGCCATAACTGTCAAACTTTGTGTTGCATGTTTGTGACCGAGGGTGCTACGGGGTTAAAGTTCAGTTTGAAAAACAAATCATTGAATATTTATTTTTATTAACTAATTTTTAATGGTTGTATGATCATGCATGATAAAGGACTAGATCAACATTTAAAGATTTCCTATAGTTTGTACTAGTATTGTATTTTGATCTCCATAAGCTGCTCACCCTGCAAAAGTGCTGAAAAGTAAGTAAAAAAATCCTCAAATCTGTCAAAAGTGTATCTAAATTTGAGCACATTCTGACTGCCGTATAACAAGATTTGTCAATGGGACAATGCAAAATTAAATTAAAAGTGTCACCCTTGGAATGAGAATTTGTTTACATTTTTTTTTACGAAACAGCTTTGTCCCATTGTTGAATCTTGTTTTAAAAGAGTCAGAATGTGCTCAAATGAAGATAAAACCTTGAATTAAAGGTGAATAGGAGGATTTTAGGAAAGACCCGCCCTCTCCACCTTTTCAACAAAACTCTCTGGTCCTATTTGACGAGCGCGTATCACCAGAATGATTGACACTTGGGAGGACCAATAGTCTTGAGGATCTACCCGGGAGTAGAAAATCGTCCTAAATACCTTTAAGCTTTTATTACCTCGTAGTTTTTCACTTTTTGCAGTGTACTAAGTGCTGGGACTCACCGGTGTGTGGCACGGGTCTGTATTTTCCCAGCAAGCATATTTCCTGTTTCTTCTGTGTGACGGTGAGTTTATCCTCCTGCCGCAGACCGGTGGCGTGACGTGAGAAGATGAAGGAGTAGGCGTCCTTGCACGTGCCGTCCTCGTCCACGCTCCTGCAGGAGTAGTGCACGGCGTAGTTGTCGTAGTCCGTGTCGATCACCCAGTGGTCGTCAACTGCAACCACAAGTCACGGTTCAGACGATCATCATTGGGAATATTCAAATCCAGATTATAAATGACTGCCTCAATATTCTCGCACTGGAGAACTAGAAGTGCACTTGTATAGTGTAAACTCCCACCAAGAGGCGCAAATAAATAAATCCAGACAATGATCTGGATGAGCATCATCAAGTCGAATCATCTCTCTTTTCTCAATTTTATCATTTTATGAACATAATAATAATTCATCGGTTTTATAGAGCGCTTTCCTGGACACCCAAAGACATGTCATTATTCATTCACTCTGTACACAGTGGTGATTAACTACTACTGTAGCCACAGCTGCCCTGGGGCACACTGACCGATAACAAGTATGTGCCATCCGCCCCTCTGACCCCCACCGACCATTCACACACACCAGATTTATTCTGGGCAATGTGGGGGAAGTGTCTTGCCTAAGGACACAACGACAGTTTGGCACTTTACAGCCGCAGCCGCCCCACTGTGGCACCAGGTGTTCCCAGGGGTCTCCCATCATGGTTCTACCCTGCACAGCTTCAGAGGTCTGACGGGAACTGGTATTCACATAAAAGTATGGCGACACTTCTATAAATATACTAAAAAAATCAGCAATATTTCTTCTCAATAACACAAAATATTCCATGTACACTGCAAAAAGTGATGAAAAATAGGTCACTAAATTGCTCAAATTTGGCAAAATATATCTAAATTCTGTCTTAAAACAATATTTTCCAATGGGACAAAGCCATTTGGTCTTATTTTAAGAACTGTTGCTTTATTTTCTCATTGAAAGCGAAACATTTCTTGTATCTTTTTAAAACAAGATATTTTTGCTTGTCTCGTTGACAAATCTTATTTACGGCAGTCACAATCTGCTCAAATTAAGAAAGATTCATTTTGCCAAATTTGAGAAACTTCTTTTTCATCACTTTTTGCAGTGTAAGGCATGACCCCTGTATTTCTTTAATTTTTATAATATATTTGATCCATATATGCATTTTGTAGCGTTTACAAACCTGAGCACAAGGATGGCCAGGCAAGTTTATTTGTATGGCACAATTCATACACAAGGCAAGTGTGACTCACATCCCTCCTGCAGGTTGGCGGCCGCTCCCCAGTACTTCATCTTGAACTTGGACGGGTTGTCGGTGTCGTGGAAGGTGGCGATCATTCTGGCGCACGTTTCCCAGTTACTGCAGCAGAAGAACAGTTTACAGTTTGTGTTTTATTTTGTAAAGTGGTGCAGACGAAGACAGAAACTCACTTGAGGATGATGACTCTGCCTTCAGCGGTGGCGGTCATTTGGCCGTTTTCATCAATGACCAGGTTGGCCACGATGTTGTCCAGTAAGAAAAGTCCTTCAGGGTCCTTCTTACCGACAGCGTACCATGTGCCTTGGTACTAATGCAGGGGAGAAATATCACAGTAAAACTTTTAAAGAACACACATGTCTTTTTTCTGCACTTGTATTTACTAGTAATACATACAATACACAGCCAAAAGTGACGGAAAATATGTCAAAATGTGCTAAAATTTGGCAAACATGTATTTTTTTAGGGGCAGACTTTGAAAATTAGCCTTGGCAATGAATACGTTTGTGTAAACTCTCAGTCGCACAGGGATTACAACTTTACTTTGTCTTGGGTGTGAAATGTTGTAGTGCTTCACATGATGATTGTGTACACTTGTCTTTATCAAATGAATTAATCAATAAATAAAATTCATACATACAATAATTTGAGCACATTCTGACTGCCTGAGACTAGATTTGCCAATGGGACAAAGCAAAATGATCTTGTTTTGAAAAGATACAAGAAATGTGTCGCTTGGAATGAGAAAATAAAGCAACAAATGGCTAAATGGCTTTGTCCCATTTGAGAATCTTGTTTTACTTCAGTCAAAATGTGCTCGGATTAAGATAAAAACCACTTTAAGCATTTATTTCCTCAATATGTATCATTTTTTGCAGTGTAGTGTTGATTTTACATAATGCCGTGTAGATTGTGTTTTCTTTCTATTCTCACTTGTATAACTGGTTTGTGATTCAAAATGGCAATAAAAATACTTCTGATAAAGAATATAAAGCGTTGTGAGTCTCTTTCCCGTCACTTACCCTCGTCCTGTCGAAGTTCTGCATGACCTGGATGTTGGCCACCTGACAGTCCTGCGCCCAGGACGCCGCCACGAGACAGAGAACAACCACCAACGACAACATTCTGCACAACACACACAAATACAATCAGCACAATCAGTGTAGTTCATCACTGCTGCTGAAGTGAGGCACAAAAGGTCAGGACTCCAGCTGTGGCCACTGCAGTCGATTTCTTTGACCCTTTAATGTTAATAATTGACAAGATTCTCCAAAGGGACAAAGCCATTTCGTCTTATTTAAGGAACTGTTGCTTTATTTTCTCATTCCAAGAGAGACATTTCTTGTATCTTTTCATTTCTGCTTTGTCCCATTGTTTTAAAGCAGTCAGAATGTGCTCAAATTAAGATACATTTAGCCAAGTTTGAGCAATTTTTCATCACTTTTTGCAGTGAAGAAAGCAATGTAAAGGAGAATGATGTAGGAGCACTAATACCACACATATTTCTTTGTTTTTCTTTTCTTTTTAATTATAGGCCTCTAACTAATAGTTGAGATGCAGTTTGATGGTACAGATGATCCCTGAGGTAGATTTCAGGTCCAAGCTTCAAGTAGATTTAGTGACTCATAAAGTGATCCACTAAATGATTGAAGAAATCATTAAAGCGTTCAAAAAAAGATACTGACTTCACAATCTAACATCTCTCACAAAACACAATCATGTGGCTGTGCGAGGCTGTGTAAAGGTTGCACAGAAGTGTTGAGCTCGGGACATCATAGACGTTCACAAACTTGCTACAGTGAGCGAAAGTCAAGCTGCTACAATAGACCAGACAGAGTCCAAAACACTGCAAAAAGTGATGAATAAATGGCTGAAATTCGGCTAAATGTATCTTAATTCAAGCACATTTTGACTGTTAATGGAACAAAACAAAATGATCTTGTTTGAAAAAGATACTAGAAATCTCCCTTTGGAATGAGAAAATACAGTAACAGTTTGTGAATAAGACTAATTGGCTTTGTCCCTTTGGTAAATCTTCTCTTAAGACAAATTAAGATAAAAACCACTTGATCCAAGCAATTATCACCTCATATTTGACAGTTTTTTGCAGTGTATAAGCTAAAAAAGAAAACACAGAGATCCTGTCTTTGCCATGGCATGTGCAGTGGGGAGCTCGAAGCAGTCAAACAGTTTAGAATATCAGAGATTCCCATGAAGTGAAAACGGAAAGCCTACCTGGAGACCAAGCAGATGTGGGCCGCTGTCAGGGATCAGAGCTCAGACAGAGGCAGTCCGACTTTTATAAAAAGCGTGCACTTGCGTAATAACTGGCAGAAACCCCTCTCAACTCCCTCTTACTCAACACCTCCATCTTCCATTGGACAAGCATTCACATAACTCCTGTCTCTGCCGCTAGTGATTTGTGGTGGTCCCCCTCCTCTGCTCTCTCTCTCTCTCTCTCTCTCTCTCTCTCTCTCTCTCTCTCTCTCTCTCTGTCTCTCTCTCTCTTGGGGGGATCTCATGTTTTTCCAAGACTACAAGACATTGAACATCTGGACAAGAAACCTAAACCCAGGCCGTCAACAACAGCCTTTGTTTAGGTTTACCTTTCTTCCAGGTAGCTCGCTAAAGGATTAAAGGATTTAGAAATGAACAAATCAAATAATATACTTCTTACTTATTTCAGAATGTCATTTTTGTTTTCTCCCCCTTTACTAGTCCATGTCTGGGTCGGGCGTGTGGCAGTCACCAAAGCACCACTCCCTCTGATCCTCCTGTAGATGGCTTCTTCGTCGTTGAAAACATGGCTTTGGTCTTCCAGCGGGGGCTTCAGGTAAAGCGGGGTTAAGTGTCTTGCCCAGGGACACAACGAGCACAGAAATTAGTAGGAGCAGATGACATGGGTTTCAGGGGGATTGAACCCACAACCATTAGGTTCAGAGACCAATGCTCTACCAACTGAGCAACTACCGCCCTTATTCCAGATTGGATTATTCATGATCACTATTTATTATCATTATTTATTATTGTAAATGCAAACTTTGTGCACTAGTAACACAAATGCGATGTTGAATTTTTTCCAGGGCCGCTTAAAGGAGGCTGTTTTCCAATTGACAAATGTGTCCATTCCAGTGGGGGAGGGTCCCGGCTCAAAAGTGGCCAAAATGACGTGTGCTGACATGCTTGCAATACCACCCCGGGCCGATGGGGGTGGACCCAGAAGAAGAACTAGCCAATGCTAACATATAGCATTAACTGACCTCTCGAAAATATCTACAGGATGGTCCAAAAGTTGGCTCTTGGCCCAAAGCTCCGTTCCACATGTGTGTCAATGCTGAGGGGAGTGGATTTTTTGGTCCACTCTAGTTTACTTGCTGTGAATTTTTGAAGTCTCTCGTTCAAATGAATGGGGCTCTCGCCAGCTGACGCATGCGCAGATGCGTTTTGTCACAATTTTCTTGTGGGCGGGACCACTCGCGGCCATTTTGGATTGCTCCAGTAGAGCAACATTTTTGGCCCATTAGTTAGAAAGGCGGAGATAGGCGTGACTCTGTCCGTTAATATATACAGTCTATGGTCCGTTCTCTATCATTTAAAATCAAGTTAGATTGTTGTCCTTTGTATCCACTGGTCCTTATTAACTCACTGCACACACCAATAAAGGTGAATACCACAAAATCTGAACATATGTTAATAAGTACACAACTTTTCACTGTCTTTAATGAAAGTGTACCACTGCAGTGCAAACAGTAAAAACATATTTTGAATGTAATGTGTCTGGCCGTAGGCACTTTCCCGGCATGAGCTGTGTGTGTATCTTATCTACAGCACATTTTGTATTGCATCAGAACAGTTTCTTTCATTATGCAGCCAAAGAACTTCTGCGCACCACCTGACACACTGTTTATACAAAACACGGAGCAGAGTGCTAAAGTCTACATCCCACGATCGATGAGAGTCAATGCAGGAGCCCAGACATCTTTGAACAGTCGAAGATCCACGCTGCAGCTCTGAGGGCAAAAACCCTGAAGCAACACAACCTCACTCCACCGCACAACAGTCACACTATTATATGGAAGCTCCCGTTTGTAGAAAGTCAATATTGAATGAATGCAGAAGTATGTCGCTGTAAAGCAGGTCTCTAGGTTTTATTGATTCTTGAGCTTTTACTCAACAGAAAGAGCTACAGTCTTGATAATAACTATAGTAACAATAATAATAATCCATAGATTTTATAGTGTTTTTTCAGACCCTCAAAGCTGCTTCACATTTCACTTTTCTTTCACATCATACACAGTGGTGATAAACTACCACTGTAGCCACAACTGCCCTGGGGCACACTGACAGAAGCAAGATGTGCCACCGGCTCTCTGATCACCAACCATTCACCGCCCCACTGTGGCACCTGGTGTTCCCAGAGGTCTCCCATCACAGTACTAAGTAAGTAAGTAAGTAAGTAATCTTTGTTTATATACCGCCTTTCACAGACCAAAGCGGTTTTACAATTGTATATATATATATATATATATTTTTTTGGGCATTTGTCTCTCACTCCACACAGAGATGGGAGTGGGGTCGCCAGTACAGGAGGCGCATGCCAGACCTATTGTACATGTTTTTAGTGGTAGGGGAAACCGGAGTGCCCGGAGGAAACCTACTAACCAGGCCCTACCCTGCTTAGCTTAGGGCCTGTACAATAGTAAATAGTAAAGTAAACTGTACAATAATCTTACATTAGTGAACATAAATATGTACGACTCATGATCATGAGTTCAACTCCTGAATAAAACACACAATTTATGACTGATTTGTCACATAGGCACTTTATTTGCTGGACTATAAGCTTTAAAAAAAAATTACTTACATTTTTATTGAAGATTTTTTATGACACAACAAGAGCGAAAGCAAAATGCAGTCAACATGGAAAAGTTTCAGTGTGCATCAACAAATGTTATCACACAGATGTAGAAAGAGCAGGGCGAGAATAATACCATGTTTATTATCACACCATAACATTCACAATACTCAGCCCACGGTATAAAAATATGTCAACTTTTCACCGTATTAGAACCCAGTGGTCTTTGTAGTGATGTGGTCGATGTACTTACTTACTTACTGACAGTTACGGTTAGCATGCTAGCCTGAGTGAATGTTTACCGTTCAATACCTTATCATGAAATCCTCTTGTGTCCAGTTACAACGGTCGTCTTTCAGCTTTGTTTTTCTCCATCAGCTGTTGTTTAAGTGTTACATCAGAACATCAGTAACTTAGTCATCTCCCTCCACACAGTGATGGGAGCGAGGTTGCCAGACCTGCCAGACCTATGTAAACCGGAGCACCCGGAGGAATCCTACATTACATCCAAACATGAGAACTTGCAGCCAATATGAGGACAACATTTACCTTTGTTCAAATGGTCCTGCAAGTACAATGTATGACCTTTTTATGAAAGGTTTTTTCCTTAAAATAATGGACTTTTATCACTGTTAATAAGAACGTATGTATCCATTAAATTGGAGAATCGAAGTATGTTTGGTCAAATATCAACGAATATTTCACAAATAAGTCTTACAGTATACTTTCACTTTCTCTCTGCATTGAGTCAGTTCTCTTGGCTTCTTTCATGGTCCTCTCTTAGAACGTTTGGGAACACAGAGCAGACTAAGAACCTCCTTAAAGCTGAGGTACCTAACTTTATTTGCTTAATCACTTTTATGTCGCAACAAAACAGGAAACAAAAATTCTTGTACAAAACTAAATAATTGAACAAATCTGACCACAACATGAAGTCTTTTGCATACTTGTATAAGAACTTTCCCTGTGTTTCACTATTTGACTTTTTGGGCTGAGAGCTGATTGGCTGAGTGAGGGTGGTCCTCTCTTTGTCACTTTTCTGTCTGAAAAAGATACTCTATAGATGTGACAGAGACCAGCAATGCATGCATCTGAAAACTGTGATAGAAGAGACCTGCTTTATGAGCGTGTAGCGAGTTACATGGATTTTACAGTCACATTTTTTCAGTTTTAAACATCAAGTACCCCAGCTTTAAAGTAGCAACATTGGATTCGTCTGCTTATCTGGCAACCCGAGTCAGGGAGAGTGGGAGAGGTTGCAGTACCACTTTTTGCCAGATTTGTACATACTGCTCCTTTAACATCGGTTAAGTAACACCCAAAAAAACCAGTCTCAGTCAATTACAAAACGCTGTGTGCGATGCTTTATGGAGGATATGATGGATACGATCTGGGGCCCGTGTTTTGGACAGGGCTCATGTAACTGCTCCTCCGAGGGCTGAGGTTGAAATATAAAACTGGGAGCTGCCAAACATCTGCCTCTTGCATAACCAAAGCCCAGGCTTGTTGAAAACAGAACAATCACTCATTTTATGCAGAGGTAAGAACAGCTGGATCCTGGCCACGGGCTCTGGAACGGCTCAAGAGGGAGAATATTGCCCTAGTGGGATGTACTGCGCTGAGATATATGGCAACGTTTCTCAGCGCATTTGAGTCTCACCTCTGATGAGACGCTGAATGTTTTTGAACATAGTGTGAAAAGAGGTGAGAGGTTCTTCTAACATGAGGACGATTTGGAAACTAGCAGATTTATAAAAAGTTGTTTATAAAAGAAAGTAATTTTTGAGGTTTTTAGCGAATATATCTGAAAAAAACAGCAAAAATAGTACTAACTAATAATGCTAAAGGAGACCAAATGTTAAAGGTATAATGGAGGATTTTCCAAAATTTTAGGAAAGAAGCACCCTCTCCACTTTTTTAACAAAACTCCAACCACCTCCACCCATTCACACACACCAGACCTCATTCTAGGCAATGTGGGTGAAGTGTCTTGCCTAAAGACAACCTCAGCCGTCTCACTGTGGCACTTGGTGTTGCCAAAGGTCTCCCATCACAGCACTAACCAGGGCCTGTCCTGCCTAGTTTCAATGATCTGAAGGAATCTGGCTTTTGCATGACACTGAAGGGTTTTATCTCACAGTTTGTTAAGCCACTCTAGTTGTTTATAATTTTAATGTTTTTAATTCCCTTGTGATTTCTATGTTTTGTGTGATCCTATTGTTTATGATGAATGTGAAAGAGGCTTTGAAGCACTTTGTATAACCCTGTGTAGGAAAATCCCTCTACAACTAAAGCTTGATTGATTGATTGAGATTGATCCGAGCCGTACAGTATCACACTTACACATAACTTCATCTGGGCTCGCCACCTCCTCCATCGCTCCATCGCTCAACCACTGTGAAACTGGCTGCTCTCTTTTATCTCCAAAAGTCCTGTCTCCTCCTTTTTACACAGTCTCTCTCTACAGCACCTGAGATAAGCTCTGCTAAATCCAATTGTGGTGAATAGCTGCCAGTATTAACCATACGGTCAGCCGCAGAGATTAAGAAAACACAACCACCTTTGTTTAGCCACTTGTTCTGAGAGCTCTGGGTCCGCCTCTGGGTCCGCCTCTGGGTCCGCCTCTGGGTCCGCCTCTGGGTCCGCCTCTGGGTCCGCCTCTGGGTCCGCCTCTGGGTCCGCCTCCTCTTTACGGACAGGGGTCGATTTGAGTAAAGCAGATTGAAAACAAAAAGCGCTAGAGTTTAAATAGAACCGGGAGACTTGTGTATTTTGGTTAATTTAAGATTTGTTTGTATTTATCCATTATCCAAATATTGGATATCCAATATTGTTTTTTTTCATTCTAAATGTTTAATTTTAGCAGAGAGGAGGAGTGGGGTGCGAAGGAATATTTTCTTTATTATTATTTGTATTAATTTTATTGTTGTCTTTTACTTAGTCTTATGCTCTGTGAATTGTTATGAATGTATGTATTTATGTTTAGGACCCCCTTAAAAATGAACCACAAGGGGTTTTCCTCAAATAAACTAACAGGCTATTTAAGGAGCTGCCATTTCCGCTGCCCCAGCATCGAAAGTGAAGAGGTGATGTAACAGTAATGCCTGGATGCCAGGGCACAGAGGGCAAGGTTAATTCTGATCTGTGAGGCCGCAGCAGGACAACAGAGAGTGATGTGTAGAGAATGGTAGATGCCGGTAAAGAGGGATTTAGCATGAATGAGACAGAACACACCACAGTTATTTGCCGGAGCATCACTTTCAAGCATAAGCTACAAAGAGGAGAATCTACTTGTGCCATCTCCAAGCCCCAGTGATCCAAGATGGCGCCCTATTCAAATGAATGGCTTGTGCTCAGTAGCGCAGAGACCGAAAAATTAGCAGGTCCCGGTTCTGCGCAGTGGACGAGCTCCCATGATGCGTTGCGCCAAATACGCGTGTGGCTCTCATGCACGCACATAGAGAGGCTCGGCTGTGCATTGACCAATCAGAGCTGCTGATCAGAGAAGCAGCAGAGCGGAGTCAGAGTGGGAAGGAAAGGAGCAGAGTTTGTGGCAGTAAAGTGTGGATTTAAAGAAAACCGAAGGATTTAAGAAGAAAAAAAGTTCAGGATGACAAGGGACACTAAAAAGCTGTAGGTTCTCTGTCAGCTGAGGTTGAGTTACTTTAATTTACATTGAGTTCTATGGGACTTTTTTCTGGGTAGCCCGCGTGAATTTAGTCTGCAGTACCACGGGCGCCCCCTGTGCCCGTGGGCGGGACGGCTGTAAGCTAGTAATACCCTATCCAGTTATTATTATAGATCCATGGCCATCACTTTTGGCCTGTATGGGCAGTTTCAAAATGGCCGCGGGGGCAGGTAAATGCAAAGAAACACATTTGCGCATGGGTCAGTTACACGAGCCCCATCAATTTGAAAAGTGCCTTCAAATTTGCACTGCGACTAAACTAGACTGGTCCAAAAAATATATACTCACAACGTACTTTTGGACCATCCTGTAAAAACCTTTTTTGAGAGGTAAAAAGATGCTAAACATTAACATTGGATAATTCTTATTCCGAGTCCAGCCCCACTGGCCCGGGGGAGGTATCGCAAGCATGTCAGCTCACGTTTGGACATTTTTGAGCCAGGACCCACCGTGACTGGTGCTACTAATGAACATGTTAGCATCATGTGATACTACTCTGCAGCTCAAGTTGGCATTGAGAAATGTACCCAATTAGAGTATTTTGGCTCGATCGCACATGCTCCTCAACGTGCTCCTCAACAATCGTATAATGGGATACGATTCCAATTATTAGCATTAGGTACATTTTCTTTATGGTTTATTGTGCATAAGTTAGAGAAGATGAATGGACCAGAGACTATTAAAAATCTACACAAGGGAGTGTGTTGTGGTAATGTGGATCAAAGTGAATGAACTTGTCTGAGGCGTTCCAGATAATAGTCCACAGAGAATGCACACAAAAATAGTCTCCCAGTCTCCAGAGGTGTCTCCAAGTCTTAAACAACATCCCTGGAGATCCTGGAAAGGTCTTACAAAACAAATCTTTGTTTTCCTTTTTCCTTCAATTGTACTGTTTCACCCGCTCTGTCCTGATGTGAACACAAGACCTAACTTTTGACCCATCATCAGGATGCTCTCGGCCTCTCACACCAGGCCTGTGTACACACACGGGGAGATCTGTGGTATAGATGATCAGCGTGCAGGATTTGCAGTCTAAGGACGCTTAAGAGTAGGGCTTTTAATGTCATGACGTCACATTAATTAGAGGCCGCTTTGATCCTTTCAGCTCCTTAGCCCTGGTCCCCTCCCTGAGTCTGCCTGAGCGTACGGGATGATGCCTTAGTGACCATAGGGACCTGAGAGACCCGGTTTGTAGGTCCCACAGACTGCTTCCCCACACATTTTTGTAAATGATTTTGTGAAAAAAGAATATTTCTAAAGAAGGAGACCCCATAGGAAAAGTTGTCAAGATGGCCGACAAGGACAGCGTGGAGAAATACCTGGAGAACAACCCTCAATTCGCCAAAGAATATTTTGACAAAAAGCTTCGCGCCGAGGCCCTGACCGCCGCCTTCAACGCCAACCTGGAGGTGAAGGACACGGCGTCGTTCAAGGATGTAAACACGCTCCAGGAATCCGTCATCATCTTCGACCTGATCAAAGAGATGCAGAAGCCGAGCAACCTGGAGCAGTCTCTCCACAAGGTCCTGCAGAGGATCGCGCTCATCATCCAGGCCGATCGGATGAGTTATTACGCGCTGAGGGGTCGTAACGGCACGCCAGAGCTATACACGTGTCTGTTTGACGTGACGCCCACCTCCAAGTACGACAGTAACCTGGTGCATCCGCAGGCCGAGATTGTGTTTCCCACAGACATCGGGATAGTGGGCCACACAGCTGCCTGCAAGAAGCCCCAGAATGTCGCTGATGTCACAAAGGTGAGCAAGAAAATATCAAAAGTGGAGAAAAATGCTCTTGTTCAAAATACACTTCAATCTTGCGTTTGTTGTTTAAAATGGTGACGTTTCTCGCACTTTTTAGATTATTTTATATACGTATTTGTCTGGTGAACACTGGGGGGGGCGGTTTGCCGTTTGCAAACGGCAAATATATTGAATTTGAAGTGAAAAAAGCATCAGAAACAAGTGCAATATCTGCTTCTGGGGTCAGTGATTCTGGTTTTCAAACAGATTGAAAAACAAGTGAATGTATATCAAAGCTAGTGTTGAAACTAGATACTAATTTGGGCAGGTAAAGATACAAAATGAAACATATTTTTTTATATAACGCAAGCCATAGACTGAGGTCACACAAAGCACTGTACAACTTCGGGTATAGCAGTAAATCCCCATTGACTCCACATATCTCCACCCGTTGCAATTCCCCATTAACTCTCTCGTTACATTCAGACCTATTGTACATGTTTTAGTGGTAGGGAAAACCGGAGCACCCGGAGGAAACCCACGCAGACACAGGGAGAATGTACAAACTCTGCACAGAAAGCCCTTCAGCCCATTTGTTGATACATATTAGACTTTTGATAGTTTAGGAAGGTCTTCTTAGTAGATCAAGTTCTGTGGTTTTTCTCACGGTGGTCCAGAATAGAAAGACTAAAAAGTTTTAGATAATAAACGCTATCAGAAGAAGATGTTCAAAATCTTTGGCCCAATGAAAAGTAATGAAAAATATTTGAGACAGAAATTACAGTTTATTTTCCAAAAAGAGCATTCATAAATAATAGCAGAAGTGTCAAAATGTATTTATTTTTATTTTTATTTTTTTCTAGCTTTGAAATCTCTTGTTTTGAAGTATTTATATTTATCTCTGTAATGCTACTGTCTTGTTTCTTCGCTGTGGGACGGACACACGTTTTTTTGTCATTCTTAAACTTAAACTTGTGTATAGGTTTTATTTTTATCCTTTTGTAATCACCCCTGATTCAATTATGCATGTCGATTAGGTGTTACCGAGATAATCTCAATTAAACTACCACTATAGAAAGTCCAGATTCTAAATTCAGACTGTTCTGGAGTCTGCCTGATCCCCTCTCCCACGGTAACGTCTAAATGCACTCTTAAAAATATACACTTCTAGAATATATTTTGTATTCCAGTTTCGTTCACATGCACCAAGATTATGTGTGTATTGCTCAGATCCTTAACTTATATATGATCTTATTGTCATCAGTCATTCAAAGCCAAATCAAGGTAACCATAGCAACGTCTTCAAAACAGTGGAATAATATGTGTGAAAACTGGAAAATAATTATCTACAAATGTATAAAAAGCAAAAGAAAAGATACGTGGGATTATATTCTTATTATTTTGCAGTTCAGCGCTAAATGATGTTATAATTTAGAAGAGAAAAACCCTAAATAAATTAAAATATGCGATGTATTTGGGTTACTTGCCTTGACGGAAATGAGTTTTTCTGCTGTAATCTGGCATAATTCACTGTATCCACTGTTCCTCTCAATTGAAAAAATACATTTATAATAATAATGTTAATAACAATATCGTATAGAACCTTATATTTTTATTTTTATTTTTTTTTAACCTTTATTTAACCAGGAAAATCCCATTGAGTCCCATTGTGTTGAATTTTGTTGTGTTAGTTTTTTGTTGTTGTCCACATAATAGAAAAAAAAAAATATTTATATATATACTACTATATATATATATATATATATATATATATATATATATATATATATATATATATATATATATATATATATATATATATATATATTAAGAATACAATAGTCATGTTTCACTCTTTTATGTGTTTGTTTTTTACAGAATCCAAAATTCAGCGACTTTGTGGACAAGCAGACCGGGTACAAGACCAAAAACCTGCTCAGCTTCCCCATCATGGCTGAGAAAGAGTGCATCGGTGTCGTCATGGCGCTTAACAAAATCGGAGCCGATGCTTTCAGCAAAGAGGACGAAACGGTGAGAGACCAGCCACAACATTATGACCACTTTGTCTTTGGATACAGTCCCTTTAAAGTCCAGCCGGTGCATTATTATCAGTGGAAACTTGCATCTGGTAAATGGCTGGTGGTTTATTCTATATTAAAGCTGAGGAACCTGACTTTTAAACCACAAACAATTAGAGCGACGTAATGTTAAAAACTGTTTTGGCCTCTCCACATCTTGAGATCAGTTTTTTACAGACAGAAAAGTGAAAAAGAGAGGACCGCCCTCACTCAAGGGCACTCATGTCAAATAGGGACTCACAGGGACCTCACTTAAGTATAAACAACAACATATGCATCATTTTACTTTTTCAAGACTCTTCCTTTAAAAACAAACAACTGTGCTGTTTATCTAGAGAAATAATGAAGTACCACAGCTTTATCTCTAGGACTGGCAGAATTCTGGAACTACTAGAATTCCAAGAGCAGTCTTTTTGGCGTCTTCCATTAACAAAAAAGCTTTAGTTTTTCAGTACTTCATTCAGAATAAAGTAGTTCACGCGGTTTTTGTGAGTTGCTATGGTAACAAGCTCTTGCTGTGAGCCGAGATTGCGCTGAACTAGTCCAGGACCAGGACAAGTGAAGGACCCATGTGGGACCAGTGTAAGACCCATGTAGGAACCATGTAGGAACCATGTAGAACCAGTCTAGGACAAGCTCTTAGGACCCATGTAGGACCAGTACGGGACCCATCTAGGACCCATGTAGGACCAGTACAGGGTCATAATGATTTCATAAACATGTTCAAATAGAAACAGAAAAAGTCAAAGTTATGAAGACCAAAAACAAGAATAAGCGGAGTAATTACACTTTCAAAACAAAAAGCCGTCAATTTGACTGCTCAGGGAGGTCTTAGAGTGGCACCAGTGGTAAAAACCGGTTATGGGAAAATTCCGTCTTAAACTAAAACGGCTTCAAACGTCATTTCTAGTTTTTGAGGGAGAGAAAACACAGGAGGTGATTGTCAGTGGTTTATGAGCCTTCACATCCAAATGCTCAGATTATAAGTTTCTTTATTTGTACAGGGAGTTGTTTTGGCTCCGCACTCGGGCATTTGCAGCCGATAATGAGCTTAGTGGTGGAAATAGAACTTGATACGCTGTTACAGACTCACATCATCGGGCCTCTGCGATACACACTGTACTTTGTCCTGGGGTTGAAGGCTATAAGATTCAAAAGGATTCAGTATCGCCTTCTTGGCCTTTGTGTTTGAGTAAATATGTGGTCGGCAATTTCTCTGTCACTTTGAGTTGGAAACATAAGATGAACAAAAGAAAAACAGTGGGGCATTCGTCGAAAGGCAGTGTGAGAAATATGTCGAGATTGAAAATGACTCAGATCGATTTCACAGGACATGATTGCTTTCCCAAGAGCCAGATGTTGTGTGTGCGGACTGGGTCGCCGAGGTCTCTGCCTTCGGCTGCTGCCCAGTCCTCTCAGCACCGTTTCGCCACACGGACCCCTCTGCAGGTGGTGGGCCCACAGGAGGGACTGCCCACGTCGTCCTTTCGGGCTGAGCCCGGCCGGGCCCCGTGGGCTAAGGCCCGGCCACCAGGCGCTCGCATACGAGCCCCGACCCCAGGCCTGGCTCCAGGGTGGGGCCCCGGCTGCGCCATGCCGGGCGACGTCACTGTATGTCTCTTAGTGCTGTCCATGGTGTCTTCGGACCGCTCTTCGTCTGACTCGTCACCAGAGACCTGTCTGCCATGGGAGACCCTACCAGGGGCATGAAGCCCCAGACAGCATAGCTCCCAGGATCATCCAAGTACTCAAACTCCACGTTAAGGTGGCAGTCCAGGGGGGAGCTTGTATCGCGGATACAAGCGGTCGAAATGAGCTTCCTCCGCAGAGTGGCTGGGCGCTCCCTTAGAGATAGGGTGAGGAGCTCAGTCACACGGGAGGAGCTCGGAGTAGAGCCGCTGCTTCTCCACGTCGAGAGGAACCAGTTGAGGTGGCTCGGCCATCTCTTCCGGATGCCTCCTGGACGCCTTCCTGGGGAGGTGTTCCGGGCACGTCCCACCGGGAGGAGGCCCCGGGGAAGACCCAGGACACGCTGGAGGGACTATGTCTCTCAGCTGGCCTGGGAACGCCTTGGGGTCCCCCCGGACGAGCTGGAGGAAGTGTGTGTGGATAGGGAAGTCTGGGCGTCTCTGCTTAGACTGCTACCCCCGTGACCCGGCAACGGATGAAGCGGAAGAAAACGGAGCAATGATTGCTTTCCTCGATCCAATTTGATACATTTTTGTACAGCCCTAATTCTCGAAGGACTTTACAAAGCTGTCGATTCTCCAAGACAGATCAGAAAATCAAACAATTATATGTATTAATATAAAAAGAAAACACATAGAGGCATTGGTCCATAAGGGGCAGACGACCAATGTCCATAAATGTTGATAAAAATCCTTAAACGCTGTTGAATGTGGAGTGTCCTGGATCATCACCACTGTTCTTAGACCCTCATGCATCAGCAAAATAAAAAACTCTAAAACCTCAGTGGGAGAAAAGTGAGAAATCTCAGGGGGACCCACATTGAAGGACTAAGTTTCCACAGTACGGCCTTAAACTAGTCTCTTCCTACCACGAAAAAGGATGGATTTTGTTGATAATAATTCTTTGGAATATTGTACAGTTTGGGCAAAGAAAGGACCTGGCACGCTTTAATATATGTATTTTATTTGCAAAAACAAATTTCTCCGTTTGGAAATGTGTCAAATAGTTGTATTCGTCTGGCTACAATCTTCATGTATTGTTCAGTACGTCTGAAAGGATTTGCTCTGGCACTAAAAGAGTCCAAGGCTTTTCATAAAACTACTTGGCAGCAATTTCTTGATTTTTCTCCCTTTAAATGAAAAATAAAACGTAAAAAAGTGGGGTAAATTGTACGCCTTTCCAGAATTTGTCCACTTATCTGCTACACACACCAGTCAAATCAATATGAATGAGTAATTTACACATCAGCACATGGTTTTTTCATGATAGTTTGATTCCACAAACATAGGTACAATAAGTGTCTGTTCCGTTCTGAGCCACGTGCAGTGAGATGAAGGACCCAAAATGCAGGAAAGCCAAAAAATAATGGTCTAATAATAATAATAATAATAATAATAAAACAAAAGTCTAGGTGGAAAACAAACTCCATAAAAACCAGCAGAACAGGAACCAGGAACAAGGAGAGGAGAGGAGCACAGGTACATATAGACGCAGAGAGACACAGGTAAAAAACATCAGGGCGGGGCAAACAACCAGAAAGGAAGTAAAACTAAAACCAAACCAAGTGAGAATTGATATCAAAATAAAACCAAAGTACAAAACAACACAAAATCCGCACCGTGACGGAACATTTGGAACCACAGCCATTTGAGTTGGTGTCTATAAATGTGCTACTTTTGGTGTTTTTGTTATTCCATCGTCTCCATGTTCTTTGCTAACTCTTTCGTTGTGTCCCCAGCTGTTCCACAAGTACATGACGTTTGGCCAAGCGGTCACCCTCCAGCACCACACGGCCTACATGTACAACGTGGAGTCCAGGAGGAGCCAGGTACCGCTTCCTGTAGAGCAGAGAGAGGCGTCGGAAAAACCCGGTCCTCAATGTCCTGCAAGTTTTCGTTCCAAACAAGCAGGAGCGCAGCAGACGTCACCCATTTCCTAAAGTCTCCAGGTTCAGACTGGACTCACGTGAGGAAATGGGTGGAGTCTGCTGTGCTCCTGCTTGGTTGGAATGAAAACCTGCAGCCACACAGGCCCATTCTGGAAGTAGTTTGACATCCTTTCTATAGAAACTGTAGAAATGCCTCACAATGTACTTTTGTCAATACGTTTTAATGTGAGTTAAGCTAAAATGTTATGGACTTGAAGTGAATATCAGTTACTTTTCAAACTGTGAAGAGCGGGGGAGACTTTTGGAAAACCCAATCTCTGAAAGAAGTTAAAATCATTGAGGCTCGTCGTCATTGGTTAAACTATTGTCTTTCAGATAATCTTACTGGTCATAGTTATGTCAGGCAGAAGCAACCATTTAAAATATTATTATCAATGCAAAATACTTACTGTACACAATAGTATAGTGCTCCATGATCGGAATTACACATTATTGAAAATCTCACCTTTAAAAACCTGGGTGGGTTTCCTCCAGGTGCTCCAGTTTCTGCCAACACCCAAAACTACGCACCATCAAAAAATCTTCCAGCTCCGGTAATCCTGACCAAGCCAATATTTAACCAAAAAAAATCTCACATACACACAACCAGGGAAACAAAGAACGCCAAAATCAAAATGTAAAAATAATCTTCATTTGAATAAAGTTTAAATGTATATACAGTAGGTTGTGTTGCTAAGTGGTTGCTAAGGCAAGCTGGAGTTTCCACACATGAATGAAGGCCTCTGATTGGTCCATCCTGGATTTACAACGATTATTTCACAAAATGGGGATCATAGAGAGAACTCATTCACTGTTTTTTTAATCCCAAAATGTTGAGTATCAAGGAGTTTACTTTTTTTAAATACAAGTCTGAGGTGAGCCAGAGCGAGTAGGAGCAAATCTCGAATACCTACTTTGATTTACGTCCTTTGTTGTAGCAGTTTGTGGTGTGTCCATCAAGCCTCCATCATTAATTCGCCTCCTGTTCCTCCTCCAGGTCCTGCTCTGGTCGGCCAGCAAAGTGTTTGAGGAGTTGACAGACATCGAGAGGCAGTTTCACAAAGCGCTGTACACTGTGAGAACGTACCTCCTGTGTGAGCGCTACTCCGTGGGTCTGCTGGACATGACCAAAGAGAAGGTGGGACCCGTCGTTGTCCACGTTTAGCCGAAAATGGGTGAATGAAAAATAACGTGTTTTTACTTCTTTGTCTGTCGTTCAGGAGTTCTACGATGAGTGGCCGGTGAAGCTGGGAGACGTGGAGCCGTACAAAGGCCCGAAAACACCAGATGGCAGGGTACTATTATTTTTATTATTATTATTATTATTTTGTTGCTACTGTTTATTGATCCATAGACTGACGTGTGAAATCTAAATCTGTCTCTGCTATAGGAAGTCGTCTTTTACAAGATCATTGACTATTTGCTTGAAGACAAGGAAGAAATTAAAGTCATCCCGTGAGTACTATTATGGCTGATTTTTTATTTGTGGTCAGTTTTTAAAGTTAAAAAGTCAATAATTAGAGAAGGTATCCGAACATTTAAAGGATTGTGCTTTTTGTTTGTACTAGTCATATATTTAAAACGACTTTCAAGACACAAAACGTGAACTATGTAATAAAAAGCAGTTCTTGGCTCTGTCTATAGTTCCCACATTAATGTATTTTTGGCCTTTTTTTAGACAGAATAGTGAAAAAGAAAGGACCAAACTCACTCAGTGTCTATAGTGAGTCAAAGGATTACAAGAAGCCCCAAATACGCAGAAAATAAAATGTTTTCTACTAAGATAAATACATTTTAATTTTACATTTCTGTTGGGACAAAGGGCATTGATTATTTATGAAAACAACAAGTAACCGTCTGCTTCATATAACCCGTGCTCACACCTGTATCAGTGTGGTGACATGTGAAACTGTGTTCTGCAGGTTTGAAAGGAATAATTTATAACTAACTTAAACATGGGTGAATTCACATCTTGGCCTGAAATTGCAGAACTTGATAGTCATGGCTTTTATTATAGACAGAAGCAGATTTTTCTCTGTGTCTGCTCTGTGTCAATGTCTTCTCATTGATAATACTAAAATCATTAACATTGGTCCCAGGAAGACTAACGACTACTTGTGGAGGCTAATGCGGGGACAAAAATAGATAAATAATGACAGTTAATGATAAAAAATACTCATACTAATAAGTAGATACTCATGGTCTGTTAGTATCACCAGAAAAAAGTATATTTAGTTAAAGTTCAAGTGTTAAGTACTGGGGAGAAAGGTGGTGAGTCTGATTCCTCCCCAGCACTAACGCCTCACACTGTTTAATTAAATGCATTTTGCTTTGTCAAGTTGTATCATAGATTGTAGACAGAATGAAATGTGTTTGAAGAAGAAAAAGCTGCTCAGGAACAGACTGGCTCACTCTTATTTTTCTCTCTGTCACACTGTACAGGGGTCCACCTGTGGATCACTGGGCCCTGGTCAGCGGACTACCGACCTACGTGGCAGAAAATGGATTTGTAAGTCTCTTTGCAACAGTTTTTGGGCCAATGGCGATTACAGCAATCGTGAAAATGTACATATAGAGAAAAATATAGGAGTTATGGGCCGCTGCAGCTACAAAAACATTCATACATCGTGTGCCTCGGACGAGAGATGGTGATGTGGATAAATGATGAAGAATGTTTTTGCTTTTTCCAGATCTGTAACATGATGAATGTGGCTGCGGACGACTACTTCACTTTCCAGGTAAATCTAAATCTGTTGGTTCAGGATGCAAGGACGTGTTGATTGTGCAAGGCAAGTTTAATTATATAGCACAGTTCATACACAAGGCAAGTCAAAGTGCTGAACAAAACAAGATGGAGACAACGGCATGAGGCATTAGAACCAGAGATCATCACAGTATATTAAAATCTACACACACAGTTAGACAGAGCTGTTTTTAACCTGGACATTGTCAGAGAAGAAGTCTGTCTCACATTTTCACAAAAACGGATCCGGATTTTAGCTGCAAATGCTGCATCCTAAATGCAAATGTTGATTGTCTAGGCATAATTAAATTTTTTGCGACAAATGTGATAAATATTCTGTTTATATGTTTGTATTATTGAATGTACACAATGTCCCTTCCTGTAAAATTGTGACATCATCAGAGAGAGATCCCCATAAATTATGTAATCATGTCATTTTATAGATGAGAAGGTCATTAGGTTCAGTAAATTAATTTATTTAAATGGCCACAATATAGACAAAAAAAAGTTTTTGTCCTTTGTCAAAATAACAAATTCCCCACAGACCATTCTGGTTTTACTTCGCTGATAATGTTTTCTTCCCAAACTGAAGTACATTGATTTGATTCAAAGTAAGACTGTATCTTTATAACAGACACTGTTCCACCATGTCAAAATTAAAAATACGTTCATGGTATTTTAAACCCATTTGTCTCTAAATTAGTAGCATTGATACTTGAGCTCTTAAATCCAGGACGTATTATACACAACGCCCAGGTTTAGGATTGTTGTACTCGTCAATCTCTTATATAACTTCAGGGCTCCAGCTTTTTGCTTGGAATGACTGAAAAAACCTCAGGAGTTAATAGCATTTATGATCTCTCTCTTTGTTTCCAGAAAGGACCAGTGGACGAGTCTGGATTCGTCATCAAGAACTGCCTGTCCCTGCCCATCGTCAACAAGAAAGAAGAAATCGTGGGAATCGCTACTTTCTTCAACAGGAAAGACGGGAGGCCTTTTGACGAGCACGACGAGCAGATCACTGAGGTGGCCACGCACTGTTTCCCACCATTTCACAATATTTTACATAATTTTACACCAATTTTACAACATTTTACAACTCCAGATTCAAGATATGTTTCTCATTTGTGCACAAATAGGGGACTTGCATGATGGTTTTTTTGTTGAGGGTTTTCATAGTTCAAGTAGAAAAAAAAAAATATACAATAATGTAGTCTGCAGCACATTCCTATTTCAGTGCGTTTATGTGAACAGCAGAGAGAGACCAGGAACATGTCTTCTAACCAGAATCAGAACCAGCCTTGAAGCAATGTATTGTTGTTTATTAGATACAGTACTTTTTTTTTTTAACCCTGTGTTTACATTCCTGCTTCCCAGTGCGTTTATGAGAACAGTAGAGAGACACGAGGAAGTGCAGGGAAATACACAGGACTTATTTGTGTGTGATAAAGTCTGTAGTCAGGGCAGAGTTTACGGACTCATCCATTTTTTTTGATAGTTTTTGTAGCGATGAGAAGATGGTTTAGGGAATTGCTTTGATCATCGCCAAAACACCTTAAAATTAATCACGTTGCGTCCGATTAAAACAGCCTAATTGTTTTTCTCCAACAGCTGTTTTTGTCATGTAACATCACAACATGAACGTGTTTTACTGCGTACATTGCACCGACTGCTCATAACAGTGGATTTGTGTATTTCTAACAGTGTTTTGCTCCTTCAGGCCCTGACTCAGTTCTTGGGTTGGTCCGTGTTAAACTGCGACACGTACGACAAACTGAACCGAACAGAATACAGGAGGGAAATCGCTCAGGACATGTTGATGTACCAGACCAAGTGCACCTCGGCCGAGCTGCAGTCCATCCTGGTGCGTTCACAAATCACGGATATTTATATGTTTTGTTTTGTATCTGCTTCTCTGCATGTTACACACTATTGTCTCCTATTGCCGTTTAGTATTTTTTTGTTAATATTTTTGTTAATTTGGGCGACTAAACAAGCAATCAATCATTCATTTGCATGGCACAGTTCGTAATTCACGAGAGCAATTTTAAAACACAGATCAAAATGTATTAAAACAGTTCTTTATAATATTTTTTTATATAAATCATTCATTCATGTATGTATTATTATTTTATACAGATTTTTTTTATTATTATTTTTAGCAATTTTGTATAATTTATTTTCACCAAATACCAAAACAATGAGTTATGTGAGTTTTAATCTCTCTCAATGGCAATGAAAAAAATGCCATTGACAATCTTTTTTTTAGTCCCAAACTAAACACAGACAAAGATACACATACTTATCAGCTAAAAGTTACTGAAATGTGATTTTCGTCTGGACTGTCCAATAAGAAGAACATTTTTATAAGAGCCCATGGTTTCAATGATTGCAAATTTCATGCCCAAAATGTTCGAACAAATGTAACCTAACAAACACTTGCGTTCCCAGAATACAAAAGAGAAGTTTGATTCTGAACCTGAAGACTGCGACCAGAAGGAGATGTACAAATTACTAGTGAGTATTGCACTTTTTCCAACACGATTTGTCTAAGAAAAAGACAGCACAGTAATAATAATGTGTTTTTTTCTCACAGCGAGCCAATATCCCACCCGCCAACGATGTCAATGGTGAAGACCTGTACAAATTCTCCTTTAGCGACTTCCCCGTCTCCGAGTCGGACCTCATTAAAGCCGGTATCCGCATGTTTTTTGAGCTCGGCGTGGTGGAGAAATTCAAAGTACCCCCAGAGGTGTGTGGTCGCTTCTAAAATCTTGCGTAGTTTTGTTAGGCTGGTTGTGAAACGTGGGTTGTTTTTGTGCGTTCAGACGTTGACCCGGTGGATGTACACGGTGAGGAAGGGCTACAGAGCCATCACTTACCACAACTGGAGACACGGCTTCAACGTGGGACACACCATGTTCTGTCTGCTGCAGGTAATCACCATTTAGTCATAAGGAAAGAGATTTTTATTAGTCCCACAGTGGGGAAATGTCAGTGTTGTATCACCGGTTACAGAGCAGTAGGAATGAGGAACACAAGATGCATTTAAGAGCACAGGGAAAAGCCATGTTCATAATAGAAATGCATGGACAGTATTTGAACATACAGCTGTCAAACTGGTTCCAGAAAGAGTCTGTGTGGCTGCTGGTTTTCATTCTAACCAAGTAGGAGCACACCAGGCTCCACCCATTTCCCACCTGAGTCCGGTCTTGACCTGGAGACCTTAGAGAGCTTCAAATCGCAGATAAAGACACATTTCTTTGCTTTGGCTGTATAACTTTAAGCAATATTGAAACATTTATGATGGCGACCTGTAATTTATTTTGATGCTGTATTTTATTTGTATGTTGTATTTTCTAATATCTGGAAAGCCCTTTGTGACAGTCACGTCTGTTTTTTTTAAAATGTGCTTTATAAATAAACTTGACCTTGGGACCTGCCTGAGGAAATGGGTCGGTTGTTCTCATGCACCCCTTCTACGGGCAACTCACTGCTTTTGATCACGATGAAGGCCTTTCTCTGCACATTGGTCATTGTTTTGTTTAAAAACCAAAAAGAATGAAGAGAAAAAGTAAAATTCTCTTGTTGCATGTTGTATTTTTCAGTGTGCTTCTGCAGTAAACATGATAGCAATAGAAGTGCAATTACTAATCCAAAGTGTAAATGCTAACACATAGTTACTTGACGCCTTTGAAAGTCTCACGAGGCTCATTCTGATCAATCGGATAAAAAGAGTAATTACACAAAACGAATGAGTTGAGTTGATATAGTAGTAATGCTTTTACAGTTAAACAGGCCTCTAACATGTGGTTGGCTTCACAGACCGGGAAACTGAGGAAATACTACTCAGACCTCGATGCCTTCGCGATGGTAGCCGCTGCATTCTGTCACGACATCGACCACAGAGGAACCAACAACCTCTACCAGACAAAGTGACACTACACCTCAAATGTCAGTGTGTGTGTACTATCTACACCTGGACTCACTCACGTCTCTTTGTGTATTAGGAGCGCTCATCCTCTGGCCAAACTGCACGGCTCTTCCATTCTCGAGAGGCACCATTTGGAATACAGCAAAACGCTCATGGGCGAAGAGGTACAGGCCCCACCCCGACACGCGTCTGAGCGTTTTACAGGCATCGGAATCATTTTTATTGAAGAAAATGCTGTTTATTTTCCAGGCTTTGAACATTTTCTGCAACCTTCAAAAACGCCAATTCGAAAACGTGCAGCACTTGTTCGACGTCTGCATCATTGCCACAGATCTGGCTCTTTACTTCAAGTCCGTACCGAGCAACACATGTGTTCGTTGGTGTTTTTTGTCATAAACTTATATTGTATTTCTTGTCTCTTTGCAGAAAAAGAACCATGTTTCAAAATATCGTCAACGCCACGGAGCCGATGACGGATGAAAAAGAGGCCATTGCTTACATTTCAAACAATCCAACCCGAAAAGAAATTGTTATGTATGTAATATTTAACACAATATTATATTCAAAATCTGCCGATGAAGAAGAGACAACAATAATATTGCACAGTTTTAATATCACACTGTTTTTAATATTGCACCGTTTTAATATTGCACCGTTTTAATATTGCACCGTTTTAATAATGCACCGTTTTAATAATGCACCGTTATAATATTGCACCGTTATAATATTGCACCGTTTTAATATTGCACCGTTTTAATATTGCACCGTTTTAATATTGCACCGTTTTAATATTGCACTGTGTTAATATTGCACTGTTTTAATATTGCATCGTTATAATATTGCACCGTTTTGGTATTGCACTGTTTTAGTATTGCACTGTTTTGATATTGCACCGTTTTAATATTGCACCGTTTTAATATTGCACCATTTTAATATTGCACCGTTTTAATATTGCACCGTTATAATATTGCATTGTTATAATATTGTACTGTTTTAGTATTGCACTGTTTTAGTATTGCACTGTTTTAGTATTGCACCGTTTTAATAATGCACTACATAAAAAAGTGTATAATATATCGTTGTCCTCTTTATCAAGGGCTATGATGATGACCGGATGTGACTTGTCTGCCATTACCAAGCCTTGGGAGGTGCAGAGCAAGGTACGTCCAAAGATCGAGTTTATTTTAAAGTTTAAATAAACAAAAAAACTAATCAAATGGAATGCTGTGTGTGTCCTGCAGGTGGCGCTGATGGTCGCAGCTGAATTCTGGGAACAGGGAGATTTAGAGAGAACTGTTTTAGACCAGCAACCAATTGTAAGACGATTTTACCTTTCTCAAAAATATACATAAATTGTGCTCATGAATAATAAACGTCTTGTCTGCTCCTTCAGCCCATGATGGACCGGAACTGTGCGGAGCAGCTTCCCAAGATGCAGTGCGGTTTCATTGACTTTGTGTGCGCCTTTGTGTACAAGGTAAAAAATTGTTGTGCGATGCCTGGACGGTCGACCAAAGCCCTGCGCACTGACTCTGGGTTTGTTTGTGCGGCCGTTTCAGGAGTTTTCCAGGTTCCACAAAGAAATCCAGCCCATGTTTGACGGACTGAACAACAACCGGTCGCACTGGAACGAGTTGGCGGAGGTCTACAACGCTAAGATGAAGGCCATAGAGGACGAGAAGAAGAAACTAGAGGGAGGGGGAGAAGAGAAAGGTAACACACGTTCATGTTCGTGACGACAAAGTGTGCAAGGCAAAACGTCTAACAATCTCATGTTTCTCTGTTTCTGTAGTGGAAGGGAAGTCAAAAACCTGCTCCATCTGCTGAAAACCCACGGCGGGACTTGGTTGTGAGCTGCTCTTCCTGCTCTGAGAGACTTTTGGTTTCGCAGACTAATCCCTGGACTTGGAACCTGAAGAATAGTAGCAACATATAGACACTTTGTTCTTGGCCTAAGTTCTACAAAGCCGTTATGGTTCTTGGCTTCAGACTTTGGCCGCGGCAGATACCGTCGTAGTGATACACAGGAGTTATTACAAAGTATGTATCAGGTTGTTCATGCCAAAGATTTAGTGACGGAGCTCAAACCTGCACTGTAGATGCACACTGCACTTAGAAGTTCTGCTGTGGCAAGAACGCTGGAGGAAACGAGCAAGGAAATATGAAAACTTGAAGTTAAGATTGATTTTTAGAATATTTAAAACATACTTTGATGATATAATGGAAAGTTTCAATCACGTGTTTCAATATTCTACATACTATTTATTTGTCGCACTTGACCAAACGTCACACTGCAAAAAGGTGAACAAAATATATAAGTAATAAATGCTTGAATCAAGGGTTTTTATCCTGATTTACGTATTTTCTAACTTTCTTAAAACAAGATTTACCAATGGAACAAGTGCCGTTTAGTGCTGTTGCAATTTACTGTATGTCTCGTTCCAAGGAAGACTTTTCATTAATTTTCTTGTATCTTTTAAATAACAAGACCTTTTTACTTGTCCCATCGGCAAATTTTGCTTTTTGACTGAAAAAATTGGCTCATATATTAGGATAAAAGAAACTTGATTACCTTATTTTTAGCAGTGCACATTCATATTAGAGACCAAACCTGGGCCAAACGGGTCCAGGAATTTTCCAGAACATAACTGAATTTTGCTGAATCTAGTCGAGTAATACATCTCTGAATCCTGGAAAGTTTTTATACTTGAGTTGTTTTGGGTTAAACGGTTTATAAATGCAGAATCCACGCTCTTACTCTATGTCCATGTCTCTTAATTAGCCGTGACAGAGACACTTCAAATACATGTGTTTTATATGTTCACAGACACAACATAGAGAATACTGTAAACGGAATATTTGTATAAATGTGTTGCTTTGACTGTTCTCACTCACAAGACAACGTTCCACCTCAGGCCTTGTGTTTCCAGCCAATGTTCATTCAGGAAAGGTTTCATTTTACGCATTAGTCGCTGCAGACTGGAGACGGCCGCCTTCCTCAGAACCAGACAAAGTGGATGAGATCTGCAAGGTGCAAACTCTGGGCTTTGGAGGTCGGCCTGATCCATCCCAGCCTCACTTTGGATTTTGCAGAAAGTGCGGCTGCGGCATTCTCCGTCCGGTTGCGCAACACGCCGCTATCTGCAAGAATCGACGGCTCTGAGAGGGCTCTTAATCCAATCAGGACGTCTTTGCGATACCAGGAAACGTTTGAGTTCCCCTTTGGGCAGCAGCGGCGCACCGAGGATCACCGCAGTCTCCGGAGCTTTACCTTTTAGAGCGCCTTGGTCTTGTCTGAACAGAACACGGCAGGTCTGTACGCGCCGGGCTTCATTCGTGTGATACCAGGCGATGTGACGGACGGTTTAGAAACATAACGACCTCTACTGTATGTGTGTATCATCTGTATTATGTGTGTATGCAAATAAAAAGGCTTTATGAAGGAAGCGCACGTCCACGTCTGCTTCATGGTCAGCGTTTACATCCGTGAACTGACGACCCCTCGGGCTTAAAGGCATGTATCGTGCAGAGATCTGAGAGGCCTCAAAGCTGGATGAGCCCCGGAGGAAAGAGGATCAGTGGATTGGAACTGATCCTGCCTTGATAAAATGTTGCTTAACATGTTGTTCGTTGCCGTTGGTAACACTACTGCATGGGAAGATAGATTTCAGGTATAAATGTGCAAAAAATGTGATGATGGTTTTATACATGGGGGTCATTTTCACATTCTGGTCACTTCTCAGACAGAGTAAACAATTCCGGGAGATCTCTAGTCATGTCTGAGAACAACCTTGGAATTGAGTTCAGAGAATTAGTAAAAGATGTAGAAAAAATAATTGCAGCAACAGAAAAAACAGTAGTAATTGTTATGGTATAGTATAGAACAAAAGCTGATAGATAAAAATCAAGTGGGCTTTACTGGGGTGGGTTTTAATGAAAAGAACCTGTTAGTCCAAATCACTAAGAATCACAGAGTCATTCACTTTTCATTCCCAAGGTGTAGAGCGTTAAAACAAGATGGACGGAGCGGGACCATGGGAGAGTGATTGTCCCGCTCTAAACCAAGGGCCGTAATCTGCTCTGACCTCACGCACTTTCCCTCGATCCCGTCCTTGGCCCACAAAAGGCTAATCTTTGCTGCTCGTACAGAGGAGAGCGCTGAGCAGAGCAACTTTGTGTCTTTCTCTGTTTGATGGAAAACAAACAGGAAGAAGATTGTTTTAAAAAATCTATAATAGTCGTTCAATTTATTTCAATCTTATTTATTCTTATATAGCCCTAAATTAACCTTGCCTGCAAGCTGAATTCTCGCGGTATTTGTGAGTTCACAAACACTCGAGAATATCGCGGAGAACGCGTTAGAGTTCTACACAATCATCAATCTGGCTTTTGCCAGGTTAGCCCTAAATCACAACAGAAGTTATGTCGGAGGACTTTACAGAGCCGTTGATTTGACAACATGGAGAATCATACAGTTCAAATACAAGAAATGCAGTGATATAAAAAACATGTGGAGCCATTGGTCCATAAATGTTGTTGAATGTCGAGTGTCTTCCTCACCCTCCTGCATCGGCAAAGAAATACTCAACAAAAAAATGTCTCTTGATTAGGGTCAAATTGCTTCACTTCTGGTCTAGTTTTGTGGTGGAGGGCAGCTGACAAATCTTTCTCCCTCTCCTCTCTCCCATCTCCTCTCCTCTCTCCCATCTCCTCTCCTCTCTTCTCTCCTCTCCTCTCTTCTCTTCTCTCTCCCATCTTCTCTCTTCTCTTCTCTCTCTCATCTCCTCTCTTCTCTTCTCTCTCCCATCTTCTCTCTTCTCTTCTCTCTCTCATCTCCTCTCTTCTCTTCTCTCTCCCATCTTCTCTCTTCTCTTCTCTCTCTCATCTCCTCTCTTCTCTTCTCTCTCCCATCTCCTCTCCTCTCCTCTCTCCCCTCTCCTCTCTTCTCTCTCCCATCTCCTCCACTCCCTCCTCTCCTCTCTCCCCTCTCCTCTCTCCTCTCTTCTCTCTCCCATCTCCTCCACTCTCTCCTCTCTCCCATCTCCACCACACAGACCCACTAACCAATTAAAACAAAGCCCTCACAATTGATGACAGTGACAGGAATAATGTTAATATTTTGTTTATTCGTGTGGTGCGTGTGAGCGGCCGTCCTGCGCTGACGTGGCAGCGGAGGCGGGTCGTGGCGGCGGTGGCAGCGGCGGTGGCAGCGGCGGGTTGTCGCAGCGGGCGCCGTCAGAGGAACATGTCTTCGAAGTAGTCGTCAAACTCCTCCTCCCTGAACAGACGAGAAAAACACAGAGATGGAACTTCCTGTGGGAATCGGAGGGATGCGAGCTGACGGTTTAAGAACCTCGCTGCGAGAAATATCAGGGAATGGAACCTTGAATCCAAATGAATGTCACCACTAGATGTGAGATCATTTTGATAATTGCAAAAGCTAAAATACCCGCTAGTAATGTGCCAATGCTGGTGTAAGATTAGTCGACTTCTGGTTATCTAACTTTCAATATTCACTCCTTGAAGAAACAATATAAATGTTTATTTTCTAAGATGTAGAAGCACTAACAACATAAATAATTAGTTTTAATGTTTTTTTCTTTCTTTTTTAAACCCCAAGTTTTAATTATAGGCCTTTATTACACAGCTCCTCACAGCAGCAGTAGAACGCTCCATTGATTTGAATGTAATTTCAAAACGTTTTTCCGATCATTATTTCTTGCCTGAACTGCCTACTATACATTATCTGTTACTTAACAAATGGTTAAGATGCAGTTGGAATGGCCTGCAACCAAGTGATAGAGATGATCCACTGAGGTAGATTTTAAGATTCAAGTCGATAATGTCACTCAGAGTGATCCACCAAAAGTTTGAGGAAACATTAAAGTTACCTCTGACAAAGGCAGAAACATGTAACAGAGCAGTGCGAGCTCGTTGTCAAATCAAAAGAACCTTCTAAGCCAGGAGACACCGCCCTAATGTGGAGAGCCAGAGGCGTTTTCATGTGGTTAATGTTTTATTTAAAAAAAAAAAGCTACTTCAAATTATTACCCATAACATTTAAGGTTCATTAATCAGATCAGAATAAACGTATGACATGGTGGCACTTAAGTTCCAAGCCTTCACCGGGGAATGACTACGGACTAATTTAAATAAGCAAGGTGTGTGACTTCCGGTAAGCAGTACTGCAGGGCTGCTCTGTGCACCTTTTTAGTAAACTTTTAACAACTTTTTAGCGCGTTTTTATTGTTCAGTTTTTTAATATATCTGAGTGTTTTATGTTATTAATTCAGTGGTTTCAGCAAATAGCGCTTAGTCCCGACTGAAACCCACTAGTAGCACAGAGGCTAACACAAGCTAACGAGGACATGGAAAGTGACAATGAAATTGGCTCAAACATGCACAATATTAGTCGCCTCACCTTGGAGCTCCGTGAGAGCGACCGTGCCACCATTGCAGAACTACGAAAAGAAGTCCTTCGTCTCACCGCAGAGTTGAATGAGAAACAATCTCTAGTGTCCAAACTTTTTGAAGTCGCTGGTGGGCAGCATTCACGGCTTATGTCACTGAGTGCTGCATATTGTGACACTGTCGTGTGGGAGAGATCCGTCAGCTCCGGACCCTCCTGTTCTACGCCTAAGCGCCCGGTTCCGAACAACGAGCCCGCGGATTCCGAGGAGCCATCCTGCGCCGTGGCCCATGTCCTGAGTCTGGCAAACCGCTATGCAGCCCTCTCCACTGACATCCCGGCCCCCTCAGCAGAATCCCTGGACACTGCAGCGTACTCTACTGCTCGAGGATCCAAGTCCACTGCGAGGAAAACGCTCCTAAAGGAAGCAGTCCTCAGGCGAAAGAGCGGTCCACCAGCCATGTTGGCCTGTTCCCCTTCTTTGACCCCAGTGCAGCAGCCTCAGACTGGGGTAGCGAGCCATCATTACCATCGCTCACCTCCACCGGGTCAGCAGCAGCGCCCAGAGCCAGCCCCTCTCACCGCTCCAGCGTCCCCGAGCACACAGCGTGGGTCGCCTGTAGCTGAGAGTCAGCACCCCCGCTCCTCCTCTCCATGTGTTCAGCGGCGCTCAGGCTCGGGTCCTGCTTCGGGTGAACCCGCTGGTTCCGTCCACCGAGCTCCTTCTCCGAGGCCGCGTCCACGTCCACTCTTCGCCCCGACCACTCTGATTATTGGAGATTCCATCGTGAGACACGTCCGCTTCTTCAACGCGGTCACTCGCTGTATTCCCGGAGCTACTGTACCAGACCTGCTCATACGTCTCCCTCCTCTGCTTCAGTCCCTGCCTGATACCGTTTCCAAGGTAGTCGTGCATGTGGGAATTAACGACATGAAACTTCAGCAGTCAGAAGTCACTAAGAAACATTTTATGGATCTGTTCCACCTCCTTCAATCCTCCGGATTATCTGTTTTTATCTCTGGTCCAATCCAGACTGTAAACAGAGGTGACTGCCTCTACAGTCGTGTTGTGGCGCTGCATATGTGGATCCAGGCTACATGCAGCTCTTTTAACTTTGTCTTTGTGAATAACTTTGCCCTTTTCTGGAAACGTAACGAAGCCTATCGTCCAGACGGATTACACCCAAACAGATACGGTAGCAGCCTGTTGATGGGCTACATGCGTTACGTTGTTCAGCGTTCCCCGAGGGGGGCGTGACTGTTTACATCTGAGCCCCCTCGGACCCCACCGCACTCCCCCGCCTCCTGCTCACCAGCACCGGGTGAGTACAACGGTGCAAACACTGCTCCCTGTCCGTCTGGCAGTGCATTACCAGTCCAAACACTGAACTGTGCTGACTCCCTTCTGACTCTGGGAGCTAAAGAACAACAAGGGTTTTCACATTTTAGTCCAATTGAGACTGTGTGTGTTCCTCGCACCAGCTCAAAAATGTTTTTAAATTCTAAAAAACGAAATCAAAACAGGACAGCAGTTAGACGGTCCAACTCTGCAAATCTAATTTCTGTTCCCTGTAGAAATCAATCAACCACATTAATCGACTCTGACGTTATTTTTAAACTTGCTATGCTTAATGTCAGATCTCTATGTAACAAATCATTTTTAATTAATAATTTTATCACTTCTTATGATCTTGATTTTATGCTTATGGCTGAAACATGGCTGGACCAAAATACAGGAAATGCAGTTCTAATAGAAGCAACACCACCCAATTTTAAATTCGAATCCGAAGTACGAGAAAACAAAAGGGGGGGAGGCATAGCTGCAGTTTTTAGAGAGCACTTTGTCTCCCATAGAATGCCCCTTGGAAATTTTTCATCGTTTGAGTATATTTCTTTTAAAATGGAACAAAAGCAATCTTCTACTCTTTTCATTGTCCTGTACAGGCCACCACAGTCATGTTGCGATTTTATTGACCATTTTACTGAACTACTTTCATTCGTGTGCACAGATTTTGATAGTTTAGTTATTACAGGTGATTTTAATGTACATGTTGATGATGTTGATGACAGAAATGCAAAGGAGCTGGCTTCTGTACTTGAGACCTTTGGTTTCATTCAGCACGTGAGTGGCCCCACCCACAGCAGGGGGCACACTCTTGACCTGCTAATTACAAAGGGGGTTAATGTATCAAATGTTAATGTAGTTGATGTTGCTTTGTCAGATCATTTCTGTGTATTTTTTGACATGTGTTTTGCTAGCAAACCACCAGCTGAATTTACAATTGTTAGAAGAAGACACATACATGAAAACACAGGTGAACTGTTCATGGGAATGCTAAATTTTGAGAAAACTCCATGCTCTACTGTTGATGAATTGTATAACTCTGTCACCACCAGTGTTCTGACTGTTCTGGACGCCATTGCTCCTGTGACGGTTAAAATAGTTACCAGTAAGAAAAAGGCCCCATGGACTAAAGCAGACTCGGTCAGGGCACAGAAGCAAGAGTGCCGGAGGGCCGAACGGAAGTGGCGAAAGTCCAATTTCCAGGGCGATTATGAAATCTTTAAAGATGAGTTGGGTGAATTTAACCGGGTTCTACGAAGAACAAGAGAAATGTATTTTTCTGACATTATTGGAGGTTGCAGTAACAATTTTCGTGTTATGTTTTCAACAGTTGGTAGATTAACGAACCCCCCTGTAAAGTTGCCCCTAGAATTTTCCTCTAAATCTAGGTGTAATGAGTTTGCACAGTTTTTCGATGACAAAGTACAAGGAATCAAAAACACTATCCCTCCACAGCACGTATAACAATGCAACAGCCAGAGAAGCTTTTTGAGCTAACTCACTTTGCACCTGTGGATACTGAAACTGTCAAAAAGATAATCATGAGTCTGAGCTCCTCCACATGTAGCCTGGATATATTGCCCTCTAAATTTCTGAAGTCCGTCCTGAGCAGTTTGTTACCTTCACTGACACAAATAGTAAACATGTCTCTGTCGTCAGGAACATTTCCTATGGCCCTAAAAACAGCAGTCATAAGACCTCTCCTAAAAAAGAGCAGTCTGGATCCTGCGGGACTTCAAAATTATCGCCCCATATCGAATCTGCCATTCATTGGAAAAATTCTTGAAAAAGTGGCCTCCCAACAACTTACTGAATTTTTAACAATGAATAATTCTTTTGATATGTTCCAGTCTGGGTTTAGACCCCACCACAGCACTGAGACCGCTCTAGTGAAGGTAACAAACGACATTCGACTTCACACTGATGCAGGTAAAGTCACAGTTTTGGTCATGTTAGATCTTAGTGCCGCGTTCGACACTGTCGACCATGAGATCCTCATGCAGAGACTGGAGGACTGGGTTGGTGTCACTGGCACAGCCCTAGACTGGTTTAGGTCTTACCTGGAGGATAGGAAGTACTTTGTGGAGATTGGAGACTGCGTCTCAGATCATGTGGCCCTGACCTGTGGAGTACCACAGGGGTCGATCCTGGGACCTCTCCTATTTAATCTCTACATGCTGCCGTTAGGTCAGTTAATACAAAGAAACAAAGTGTCCTACCACAATTACGCCGACGACACTCAGATCTATGTCTCACTGACTGCAGGAGAACATGGACCACTGGATTTGCTCCTTCACTGTATCCAACAGATCAGTGAGTGGATGCAAAATAATTTCCTCCAGCTAAATGCAGACAAAACCGAAATCATTGTCTTTGGTCCCCAGAAACAAAGAGAGGGCGTCATCTGTCAACTTCAGTCTCTCTCCCTACTTCCTTCAGACAAGGTCAGAAATTTGGGGGTAATACTGGACTCAGACCTAAATTTCAATAGCCACATAAAATCAATAACATCAACAGCTTTTTACCATCTGAAGAACATTGCCAAAGTCAGAAATATAGTGTCCAGGGCAGACTTGGAGATTCTTGTCCACGCATTTGTCTCCAGCAGGCTAGACTACTGCAATGGCCTGCTTACAGGTCTGTCCAAACAGACCTGTAAGCAGCTGCAGTACATCCAAAATGCAGCAGCTAGAGTCCTGACAGGAACCAGGAAGTATGACCATATTAGTCCGGTCCTCAGGTCTCTGCACTGGCTTCCTGTGGCTCAAAGAATAGATTTTAAAACAGCTCTGCTTGTGTACAAGTCTCTCCATGGCCTTGCACCAGAATACATTAGTGACATGTTGGTGTCATATGAACCAGCCCGGACTCTGAGGAGCACAGGGACTGGCCTCCTGCTGGTGCCCAGAGTGAGAACCAAACATGGGGAGGCTGCGTTTCAGATCTATGCAGCTAAGATCTGGAACAATCTCCCTGAAAATGTGAGGGAGGCGTCTACTCTGTCAATGTTCAAATCCAGGTTAAAGACTGTTCTGTTTGCCTGTGCATACAACTGAAGGATTTTATCTCCATTTGTAATGCACTGCTGTCATTTATTTTTTTTTTTTTTTAAATTTCTTGTGTAACTTTGAAAGTGTTAATGGTTTTATTCTTTTGTGTGATTTTATTGTTTTTATTGTGTTTTAATCTTTTGTGTGATTTTAATGTTTTAATTGTGATTCTGGTGTTTGTTTTATGTGATGATTTGTGATGTGGACTGTGAAGCGCTTTGTGTTGCCCTGTGCATGAAAGGCGCTCTACAAATAAACTTTGATTGATTGATTGAAGCAACAGACTGATATAAGGTCCGGCCGCATAAAAATGTGAATGTGGCCTGATGTGGCCCCTGCGCCGCGCATTGCCCAGGTCTTTTCTAAGCCCAGTAAAACGATGTATTTGCCTTTACCCCACAAGTACAGGGGTATAAACATCCTCACCACATTCAATGCTCCACAGACTCAAAACTTTTCAGACTTTCTTTCCCCACATGACCAGTCAGCCCAACACCTTTGTCTAGTTCTGTTGTTCTCATTATTATCATTATGTATTGACCATGTGGTGGTCGCTGGCTGCATAGGCTCAGATTCATGGTGTTACCGGACTCTTACTGGTTCCATCTTACTGTGAACATTATCTCGTGACCTCACCTCGACTTCTCCTCCACCGCAGGAGCCGGGCCCTTCCAGTGGTCCGCCTCCGAGCGCCCGGCCGCCTCCTCTGCTGCCTCAGAGTCTACGGGGACAAGTGAGAGAGAGTCCAGTCAGGTCCCCAGGGAGACATTCTACTGATGGATGTGTGTCATAAAGCAGCGTTATGGTCTGAAGTTGGTTTTGGCCGAGAACATGTGCAGTTCTGGAAGTTCCTGAACACTTTCCACACGAGAGGAAACACACGCAGCTAAAGCAAGTTGGAAAGAAACATTAAGATTATTTTGGCTCAAGGGGAATTTATACTTTAATCGCCCAGTGGTGAAATCAGATTCACCCGAGAACCGTGTGTGTGTGTGTGTGTGTGTGTGGGGTAAAGCTGGGGTACTTAAGTATATTTTTTCAGAATTCATATACATTTATTATCCCAAAAGAAAGAGGTCAGACAAGCAGTATGTTATCTTGTAAACAAATCAGACTTATGAATGCATTCTCTCTTTTGCGTACTTGACGTTTTAGGCAGAGAACTGAGTGAGATGAATATTATCACATTTGTCATTTTTTTGCGGTTAGGTACCCCAGCGGCCTATAATTATACATTACACAAAACTTGCATTTTGCGGATTGAAAAGAGGGGATGTAACTTCAGAGGAACTGATCTGCTCCAAAAAAATCCCAGGGCAAAGAATAATACTGACCTGAGAAATAATCTACAACTACTAACTAACTATTGAATATTCAGACAACTGGGAAATCTGAAGTTTTTGATCCATTGTCCGAGAGAGAGAGAGAGAGAGACAGAGAGAGAGACAGAGAGAGAAGGGAAGAGCGGGGGAGAGAGATGGGGGGGCTGAGTAGAAACAGACTGTCTTTGTAACACTGTTAGGATTCGTGCTGTTTTTTGGGAGTAAAATCTGGGGGAGGGTCCTGGAGATGTGGGTCTGGGGGAGTGGGTGAGAGTCTGGCCAATGCTGGGTCCTGAGGCAGAGGAGGAACAGGAGGAGGTGAAAGATACCTTTGTCTGAGGAGTCTGAGCCGCTGGAGGAGGAGGAGGAATGATCTGGAAAATGACAGTTTAACAAAGGGTCAGAGAGGTTGTTTGTACAGTATATATATATATATATATATATATATATATATATAACATAGATCTCCTAGAAGGGGGAAAAATGTAGAGAGACTAGAGAGCCCAGAGAGAGAGACCTCAATGCATAATATTTTTTTTTGTTGATGAGTAGAAAGAGAATGTACCTTTTCTCCTTCTTTTGTGTTTGTGTCTCTCTGATTGTGACTTCTTCCTCTTGCGTTTCTTCTTCTTTGGCGACGGTGCGCGGTTCTCTTCTGAAATCTTTTTACTCTTTGTTTTTGCCTTCACCTCTTTCCTCCTGAAGAACAGACTCAGATAATCACCAAAGAGTATGTGTGTGTGTGTGCGTGCGTGTTTGTGCGTGTGTGTCTCTATGACTGTGTGTGTATGTGAGACTCTATGACTGTGTGTGTGTGTGTCTATGTGTGCCTCTATGACTATGTCTGTGTGTGTGCCTCTATAACTGTGTGTGCGTCAGGGTCCGTAGGTTTTTGTGTGTTGTGCGTGTGTGTGCATGACTCTATGACTGTGTGTGTGTGTGTGTGTGTGTGCGTGTGTGTGTGTGCATATCTGTGTGCACCTGTGCATGTGTGGGTGTGTAGGTGTGTGTGTCTCGGACAGACTTACTTGTGATGGTAGTTGAGCTTGAAAGAACATTCCGGACATAAACCTACAACAAAGAAAACACAAAAGAGGCAAAATGTCAACAAAACTTCATACATAAAACAAAGTCTGCTGTTATTTTCAGACAAAAAAAGAGATAATAATAACAACACTAGTCCTACTAATGTCAACATATATTTTAATTATTTTATAGTAAACAAACCCAGTAACTTGAATGAATGAAAGACAATTTGACAATATAAAATGCTTGGTTGCATCACTCAAAGTTCATGATTCAGCGGTAAATTGAGAGCTTTCGACTCCGCTCCCTCGTCACCACAACAGTGCGATACAGCTCTGAATGCAGACGCTGCTCCCTCTTCACCACAACAGGCTCTTAACTGCCCGATAACGTCATGTGTCAGGAGCTTTGCAGGCGTTGTTAGCCCTGTGATGCTAGGAGTACCAGCCGCCACCCCAGACTGTATATAAGGGTGGACAGTGCTAACTTGCTAGCTTGATAGAGGCTAACAAACTAGCGCTCATGGGCGAAGTTTAGCTCCCTCTTTCTCTGTAATCCTTTTTGTCACACTCATCCTTTCGGCCTTACTGATGTGTGGTTTTGTTCTCGACATGGTTCTGGTGTTTTTTTGTAAATCTAGATAAAAACAGACCAATCAGGTACTTGTTGTTCACCGATTTTGGCTTCAGCTAACGAGTGAGCTCAAGCGGGAGCAGAGCGGCGCTTTTCGGTCGATCATTAAGCTGCGATGCCAGAGTGAGGTTCCAGACTGGCGCCCCACAGAGTTCAGCACTAATCAGATTCTTCAGCAAAACGGAAAGCACTGTGGTTAGCACTTTGTGAGTCTGATGCTGTACACTGAAAAAAATGAGGTAATAAACGCTTGAATCGAGAGGTTTTTATCTTAATTTGAAACTATATTTGCCGATGGGACAAAGCCATTTAGTCTAATTTCAAGAACTGTTGCGTTATTTTCTCACCCCAATGGAGACATTTTTCATATATTTTTAAAATCAAGATAATTTTGCTTTGTCCCATTGGCAAATCTTGTTTAAAGGCAGTCAAAATGTGCTCAAATAACGATACGTTTTGCCAAATTTGAGCAATGTTTTTACTTGTCTTTTTTTGTGAGTGTATTGAACGCCATTAGCTCTTTCTAACATGCGCATGGAAAGTTTAGTTTTTCTTTTTCTTTTTTAATGAATCAACACTGTGACATCTAAAGTACTCACGCCATACTTTGAGATACACGTAATTCTCATTGTCATAGCGTTAGTATAAAACCTCGGACAGTGACCAGACCGTGGCCGAGTGACCTGGGCCGCCGCAGGTATGACTCCTTTATGATCGGCGGGAGAGCTGATTGCTGTAATTATTGTAACAGGATTGTCTGCTCTATGATACCTGTAGGAGGATTATTATGAGCGGGTGTTAGACAGAAGCTTCCATTGGGTCACGCTCACACAAATGCAACGGAGAGACGCGGTGACGTGATCGGAACAGATTACAAGGCTTAGAAATGACATCCTAATGGTCTCTACTGTTTTTAATGCACTGTACAAAAAGATCGTTTCATTTCAGTTTTTGCACATTTTCTGTTTGCATCAGTCCCTGTCTTTTTGCACAACCTGAGTGATAATATTCATACCAATGTGACGTGTACATTTCTTCATTGTGAGATCAATAAAGTTAATCTTATTGCTGTTATTTATTATATCAATCCCTTGTGTGGTTTTAATGTTTTTAAAAAGGTGCACTTTATTTATCCCCGTAGGGTAATTCCTCCTCTGCATTTGACCCATCCTGATGCCACTAAGGATTAAGTCAGGAGCAGTGGTCGCCGAAGTAACAGTGCCAGGGGATCCATCTCCAAACATTGATGCCCGGCTTGGTCAGGACTACCGGAGCTGGAGGATTTCACCTAGTATGTATGTTTTTAGTGGTAGGGGAAACCGGAGCACCTGGAGGAAACCGGAGCACATGGAGGAAACCTGAGCACCTGGAGGAAACAGGGGCATCTGGAGGAAACCGGAGCACCTGGAGGAAACCGGAGCACTTGGAAGAAACCGGAGCACATGGAGGAAACCGGAGCACCTGGAGGAAACCGGAGCACCTGGAGGAAACCGGAGCACCTGGAGGAAACCGGAGCACCTGGAGGAAACCTACGAAGGCACGGGGAGAACATGCAAACTGCACTCAGAAAGACCCTGTTTCAACCGGGATTCAACAGGGGCATCTGGAGGAAACCGGAGCACCTGGAGGAAACCGGAGCACATGGAAGAAACCGGAGCACTTGGAAGAAACCGGAGCACGGGGAGGAAACCGGAGCACCTGGAGGAAACAGGGGAATCTGGAGGAAACTGGAGCACCTGGAGGAAACCTACGAAGGCACGGGGAGAACATGCAAACTGCACTCAGAAAGACCCTGTTTCCTGGAGGTAACAGGAATACCTGGAGGAAACCGGAGCACCTGGAGGAAACCGGAGCACATGGAAGAAACCGGAGCACTTGGAAGAAACCGGAGCACTTGGAAGAAACCGGAGCACATGGAGGAAACCGGAGCACCTGGAGGAAACCTACGAAGGCACGGGGAGAACATGAAAACTGCACTCAGAAAGACCCTGTTTCAACCGGGATTCAAACCCAGGACCTTCTTGCTGAGAAGCGGGAGTGCTAACCACTTAGCCACCGTGCCGCCCTTTCTAAATGACCTTTATGATTTTTATTGTGTATCTAAAGGTGATTGTGGTGTTTTGTGTGATGTGAAGTGTTTTGTGTTGCCCTGTGAAGGAAAGACGCTTTACAAATAAAGATTGGAGTTGATTGAACTTACGGAGCTTGACCAGAGCGTTCCTCTTCTCTCCTTGTTCCACATACGCAAAATTCACTTCCCAGGACTTCAGGCCCTCCTCCTTCTCACAGCGTTTGTGTCCACACTGGAATTGCCCTGACAGACGGGAAAGATAAAGAAGCACCTGATGAAGTAGCATCATAGTTGGGAAGGGTGAGAGATTTATGAATTGCCCACGGAGCAGAGGTTACACCAGTTCACTATCTCAAATGTCACCGTTTTAATCTTGTATAAGGAAACTAATTATTAACACAGTCGTCTGTCAAACGGCTCCCATTCCCAAAGTCCATATGTTCCAACTTGTTCATGTGTGATGCAAGAAACATTTCATAAGCAGTTTTTTTTAGGAATTATGAAAGCGTTCTCATGCAACCTCGTCCTCATAATCCATCTCACATTTGTTGCCTTTTATTGTTGAGCGTGGAGCAGTCAAGAAACATCATGAGATTCTAAGTTGGAGCCAGAAAAAGATGCCGTAAAGCAGCTTGAGGAAAACCTAATGTGTTTGTGATTGTCCAGAGGGGGGAATAATATCGAGATTCTTGCCCAACAGCCCAGTCCTAATCGCTAATTATTGAAAACAGGAATTTGTTGCAATAGGAAGAGTTCATGTGACATCAATAACCCAAAGAGCCTGTAGTTTCACATTGTGGAGGAGGGCGGTTAAAACATCTTTCCTGGTGAGTGTGAAAAGTCAGATTTTAGTTTAGAGCTATTTTCTCTCCATCTTTGTCTGCCAATCAACTATGGTCTCATTATTTTCTCATTGAGTTGTCGAGAAGTGGTGGCAATATTCAAAAACGTAGCCATGAAGTTGCCAGTACAAAGGACTTTCAGACAGAAGAATATTCCGGAGGGTTTGGGAAACTAACCCCTGTCAAAAAACAACATTATTTTCATTATATTATTTGGGAACAGCTTCTTCCCTGAGGCGGTTCTAAGACTGAACAGAGCGTCCTTCGTAGCTTCTTAATAATGCTTTTAAGAGTTTTATATGTGCCTCACTGTGTCTTTTTTTGCTATTTTTTGCTATTTTTGTCTGTCTGTGTAAGTGTGTGTGTCTCCTGTGTCTGCTCCTGTTTATAGACCAATGTAGTTTTTCTGCAAATGCAATAGATTGATTCTGATTCAACATTTCTGTCAATAACGACTTCTTTCCCACAGAGTTGCATTGCGCGCTTGCCGTCCGACTGAAAGAAACTTCTAGACCCTGAAGGCGACCCGTGAATCGATCTCTGGCTGCAGCTCTGTACTCTCTCTCCTCCTACATCCTCTTGGTTTTTCCACCTTCTTTTCTAGCTTCCAACCTTCCTCCGACCAGAGAGCAGCACTGAGCGGCCTATTATCCACGAGAGTAGCTTATGACAGAAGTGATCTGGATGTGTTGGGATTCCTCTGGTCTGTCCTGGAGGGGGGGGAAGTGCGTCACACTCAAATCCAGTGTTGGCATGAGGAGGGAGGGGATTGCTTTCTTTGCTTCTCCGTCTGATGCCCGAGTGACGCCTGTGATCATCTGCCTCCGATCAGGGGTGTAAACAGTGAGGAGACTAGGGCCACACTTTCCCTTCACGTGCTGATCTCGTTAGCTTCTATGACGCTAGCGGAGTTGGCGGTAGTATCCAAAGGGACCTCCAGAGCAGGTTTAGGACAAAATACAACGTGTGCAGTGGAGACCGGAAGTTTACACCGTGAACAAATGTGTCATGCGTATTTCCCCCTCACAGTTGAAAGTGGAATAAAAACGAACCTTTAAAAACAGCACAAAATCTTATAATATGAGCTAATAAATGCTTATATCGAGAACTTTCTGGAAGCCTGAAAACAAGATTCACCAATGGGACAAAGCCATTTCTCATTCAAAGGGAGACATTTCTTTTTATCAGTCATTATCTTTTTAAAATAAGATCATTGTCCAGTAAGGCTGTCAAAATGATGCTGAAATTACGATACATTTTGACGAATTTGTTCCTTTTTATATCACTTTTGCAGGGAAACAACGGCACAATATTGAGGTGAAAATTCTAGTTTATGTTGTTTACAAGAAAATGGCCGTGTCTCTATAAAAATGTGGGAAAGCCTAAATGATAACAGCATGGCCTCTAAAGCTTCTGATTGGTTAGCAGTCGATTTGAGTCGGTTGGAGGCACAGAGATTTATGTATTTTAAGGCTACGTCTCAAACACGCCACTTTCTTGTTTGAAAACAGTCTAGATATAAGAGATGGGAAGAGAATTATGTATCGGCCAACACAGTATAATTTCCCAATGCTTAAAAGGTGCCGCTCAGAAGGAAAGGGGTGCGAGGTCCCAACAAGATACTAGATTCAACAATTTATTTACCATTTGCAGTAAAACCACATTGGAAAAACTGTCCAAGACTACCCCAGAGTGCAGACAGAGAAGATAGAGCTCTTACCTCTGACTACGGTGAGAAAAATCAATGTCAAACACGATTTACAAGGTAATTTCACCAAATACCAGCTAAATGTATAATCCAAGGATCAAATAGCCACAGATTTCAGCCACGACATCACGGCAAACACTGGATATGGGTAGAATCTGAATTAGCCCCACATTTACTCACATTAACGTCATTATCCACCATTAACAATAACAACTCAGATGTTTTTGTATCGTTTAATGCTGTAATCTACACTCCTGGTTTGCAACAGTCAGAAATACGGTCAAAATCTGGTGCCAATCGCTATGAGGCCACATCAGCCCAGACCCGACAGAAGGCTAGAGTCCTCCATGACGTCAATGGCAACAGCCCCGTGGATCTCCCTCTGACACGGACTTTGGACAAATGAGGATCTGGGAAGGACTTTGGACAGTCTCCTCATACTGATGAAATCGCCGACTATACACAAGTAAATGCTAAATGTTTTGATAATGTCTTGTCCTGTCATATTTTCACATAAAGATGATTAAACATTAAGTAATAAATGCTTAATTTGAGTACATTCTGACTTTCTTAAAACAATTTTCCTAATTCCTAACTCATAAAGATGTCTAGAAGTGGTGACAATATTCAAAAACGTTTAAGGCAGTCCAAATATGCTCAAATTAAGATACATTTTTACAACATTTGAGAATTTTTTTACTTATTTTCCATCACTTTTTGCAGGGTAAGACTCAAATGGCAGTTATGTAAAGCTAATCTCTGTCAAATGAGGATCTGGGAATGACTTTAGACGGTCATACTGAAGAAATTGCTTTGATACAGAGTTTTCCTCCCAATGGGAAAACCTCATTCATTGCACTTTAAGAAAATTGTCTAAGTTTCTGTCAAATATGTTGGTGTTTTTTGTTCCATCAGTTTTGTCACAGCACAAAGACGCCTCATTTGCAGCTTGTCGGATGCACAAGGCTCATGTGCAGAAGTGAGGACGGCTGACTAATGGCGTTAAGTGGGGAAACTCCTGGTGTCCTACGTCAATGGTCCTAATGCCAGTGGCCGGGATCCACACAGCAGCACAGATGGTCCGGTGATTAGCAGGTATGGACGGAGACCTGACCTGGGCCTGACACTGAGACCCTTTAAGCATGGGGCAGTTCCCAGCGGATAATGACAATTCTGTTCAATGTGTTTTTTTGTGGTTGTGATCTAAGCTTTGGGGAAGTTTGTGTGAGTCAAAAAGTATAAACGATAAGGGTACTTTAAAAGGACAGTATGTAATGTTTGAATTTTAAATTAAATGTACATCTTTTATACGTGTCCCCAGAAAACATGTCTTAATTCAAAATACATAATAATAATATACAATTGAATATTATATGATTCTGTAGAAGATTATCCAATCAGAGAGCAGAATAAGGCCCCATTTCGGTTTCCTGTTTGCTTTGGTGAAATGTAGCTGCATTTTAGCTCCATATTTATTTTTTTTAATGACAAAATTCACAAACAAAAAAGAAGCACCACACATCTGAAAGAAAGCAGACACAAAAAAAGTAGTCGTACAGTACGGGATACACAGACTTTGTGTATTTGTGCCTGTTCAAGCTCGACCCCAGCAGCTGAGCAGAGTAAATAATCATTTTCCTTTCATTCTCATCTTGCATTTGACTTGAACCAGCTCTTAAAATCAATACCAATGGCCGCCTTCTCTCACACAAAGTCCAAAAACAGCCCTCTGGACGGAGGGACCAGATGCATGATGTCCCTACAACACACACAGGAAATATCTGACGGCGTGGGGCTCTGGGCATCTGAGGAACCTTTGTTTGCTAATGAGCTGCCACCTAGCATGACTATTCACAGCTGACAAAAAGACAAAAACGCAGCAATAGATCAGTTTAGATGCAAAACGATAACAACGATTTCATCTTTGAATTTGGGCTTTTTTTATAGAGAGAATGGCACGATTAAGAAAGTTCTCAAACTCCTGCATTGAAAGTAGAGAACGATGCAGAAAAGCCTCCTCAAAATATCAAAATTAGAGCTATTTTTTACCCATGAAATATTATATCAATCCATTTTTATTTCAATGACACCCCTGTACTCAGGCCCTCTCTGTGGTGTACATATTATTCTAAGCTAGCTACACTGCAAAAAAATGATTAAATATGAGGTAATAAATGCTTGAATAGTGGCTTTATTTTCTCATTCCAAGGGAGACTTTTCTCTTATCTTTTTTTAAAACATATTTCTGCTTGTCCCATTGGGAAATCTTGTTTTGTGGCAGCCAAATTAAGATAAATTAAGATGCAAATTCTGACTCATCACTTTCTGCAGTGTAATATCATCTTTAGGTCTACATAAAAAGCCTCTGTGTGGTCGGCGGCCTACACATTTCTGCGGCGGGCTTTGGCCTTAAATGTAAAGGTCGGACCAGAAGGAGAGTCATTGGCTTTACCCAACGCAAACATGAGCTGAGGTTTTACGACAGAGCCAGATAAGAACTGTGCTACTGCTTTGTGAAGACATGGGGCATTGTCCATTTGAATATTCAATATAAATGGACAATGCGCCGTCGTGTGGAGAGTGGAATTTGGCCATTGACCAGAAGCAGCTAATAGTGTTGGAACCAGCGCAGGACTATAGATAGATATTAGGGCTTAAGCTCAAAAAACAGATTCAAAATTCATTGTTTTATT